AACAAATATTTTTCTCAAATTATTGGCACCCCTTCATTCAATACTTTGTGCAACCGCCCTTTGCCAAGAAACAGCTCTGAGTCTTCTCCTATAATGCGTGATGAGGTTGCAGAACACATGGCAAGGGATCTGAGACCATTCCTCCACACAGAATCTCTCCAGATCCTTCAGATTCCGAGGTCCACGCTTGTGGACTCTCCTCTTCAGCTCATCCCACAGGTTTTCTATGGGGTTTAGGTCAGGGGACTGGGATGGCCATGGCAAAACCTTGATTCTGTGGTCAGTGAACCATTTTTGTGTTGATTTTGAAGTGTGCTTTGGATCATTGTCCTGCTGGAAGATCCAACCACGGCCCAGTTTAAGCTTCCTAGCAGAGCAGTTTATTTAATATCTGCTGGTACTTGATGGAGTCCATGATACCATGTATCCTAACAAGTTGTTCAGGGCCTTTGGAAGAAAAACAGCCCCACAACATCAAAGATCCACCACCATACTTCACACTGGGGATGAGGTACTTTTCTGCATGGCTATCTTTCTGTCTACGCCAAACCCACCTCTGGTGTTTGTTTCCAAAAAGCTCTATTTGGTCTTATCTGACCATAGAACCCGGTCCCATTGAAAGTTCCAGTAACATGTGGCAAACTGTATGCGTTTGAGTTTGATGACAGCAAAGGCTTTTTTATGGCTACACTCCCAAACAACTTGTGGTTATGTAGGTGGCATCTGATTGTAGTTTCTGAGACTTTCTGACCCCAAGACCCAACTAACATTTTACATGTACATTTTAGTCATTTAGCAGACGCTCTTATCCAGAGCAACTTACACAAGCAATTAGGGTTAAGTGCCTTGCTTAAGGGCACATGGACAGATTTTTCACCTAGTCGGCTCGGGGATTAGAACCAGCAACCTTTCGGTTACTGGCACCACGCTCTTACCCACTAAGCTACCTGCTAACGTCTGCAATTCTCCATCTGTGATCTTTGGAGATTTTTTGGCCACTCGAACCATCCTTCTCACTGTGCGTGGGGTCAATATAGACACACTTCCAGGCGGATTGTTAACATCTCCAGTTGCTTTAATCGTCTTAATTATTGCCCTGATAGTGGAAATTGGTATTTTCAACTGTTGAGCTATTTTCTTATAGCCATTTCCTGATTTGTGCAGCTCAACAACCTTTTGTCGCACATCATTACTGTATTCTCAGGTCTTTCCCATAGTGATGAATGACTATGGGAACTTGGCCTGTGTGTCACCTCATATTTATACCCCAGTGAAACAGGAAGTCATGGCTTACCACTTAAGTAAAACGTAAAATATGAATGGGAATATACTTCAGTTAGATTTTACTCATAAGAATTTCTAGGCGTGCCAATAATTGTGGAGACATTTCTTGGAGAAAAATATTTTTTTCATATTTGATTTTTTTCAATCATGTTACAATCAATTAAAGGCTCGATCTTTGTGAATATTTGAATGAAAGACCAAGAGTATAAACAGGAAAGACATTTTTTTCACAGCCCGTTTTGCTCAGTCCTGGGTGTTATTGGGGCGATGATAGCCCTGTTCTTAAAATGGGCAGCATGGAGGATTCCTCCAAAGCCAAGATGACCCTTAGTGCAGGGGTCATGTTCATCATTGCAGGTATGGTGACAAAAAGGTTTATTTATCAATGCATGTTGCTTGGAGAACGGTAATTAAATTAGTTATTTCTATGTGTAACCAACCAAGTCCTCAAGCAATCAATTGTTAAAATAAATGTACAATTCCAGTTTCGGCAGCTTGCCTTTGTCAAACACTCTCATTGCCACTGAGTGGATTAATTCTCCTCTCTTCCTCTCTCAGGCATTTGTGCCATTGCCAGATAGTGGACAGTTTCATGATGACCTCCTACAACCCCAACTATGGAGAAGGGATGGGAGGTATGGGAGGAGGAGGGAATATGATGCCGAGGTTAGAGTGGATGTCATGAATTTGTATTTCCATATTTGGTCAGGGTATCGCTATAGACAGGTGAGTCTATTCCTGACTGTGCTTTTTCTCTGTGCCAGGTACACATTCGGCCCCGCCCTCTTTGTTGCCTGGATAGGCACAGATTTGCTGTGATTGGGCGGGATTCTGAAGTGTGTGGCCTTCAGGGGACTGCAACCAGACAAGGCAACGTTAGTTCTAAATCGTACATAATTTTCTAGGTTTTCAGTATGTATTCATTTTGTGAAGCTTGTTTTTTCTGTACTAATACATTTGATTCTGCATTAAGGATAGAGTTAGGTCTTTAAATGTTGCTCAGAATATAGTGCTAGATTCATTTGAAGAGTTTTCATACATTTTACTGCATGTTATTTAAGTGTGTTCTGTTGTGGTTGATAGTGGGCTCCATTTTTATAGAATTTTATATTGCCAATAACCGTTTGTTTAATGTGATCTTGGGTAATGTGTTATTGCCCTTTTGTCAATAAACCATTAAAGCTTTGGTTTATTGACACAGCTTTCATTTGTACAATGTAATGAACCAAATACACTACCAGTCAAAAGTTTTAGAACACCTCCATTTTTTCAGTTTTTATTGAAATTCACAGATTGTCTTAATGTACTCTGAAATCAAAGCATAGAACAACTAAACAATTGGAGAAAGAATGCAGAGAGTGTGTTCGGTTGTTATGTCTGCAAAATTTGATGAGTCAGAAATGTACATTACATTTTGTTAAACAAAACATTTCCATGATTAGTTTTGTTTAACAAAATGTAATCTACATTTCTGACTCATCAAAGTAGCCACCTTTTGCAGACATAACAACCGAACACACTTGTGGCATTCTTTCTACAATGGAAAACAAATATTGTTCGGAAAGTTCTTCTCAACACTGTTGCAGAAGTCCCCACAAATGTGTTGCACCTGTAGGTTGCTTTGCTTTCACCCTTCCGCCCAGTTCATCCTAAACCAGCTCGATGGGGTTTAAGTCTGGAGACTGTGCTGGCCATTCCATGATTTAAAGCCTACCGTCTTGTTATTTTCTGACAGCCTGGAGGTGTGTTTTGGGTCATTATCTTGCTGTAGGATGAACCCCTGACCAACTAGGCGTACAACAGAGGGTATTGCATGGCGCTGCAAAATGCTGTGGTAGCCGTTTTGGTTCAGGGTGCCACTCACTCTGTGCAAGTCGCCGACTTGCCCAGCAAAAGAGGCCCAGACCATCAAGCTTCCTCCTCCACGTTTAACAGTTGGTGTCACATACTGAGGAACCATCCTTTCGCCTACTCGACGGCGTACAAAACCCTGCGTGATGAACCGAAGATTTCGGTCTATAAGACCTTCTTCCAGTAGTCCACTGGCGGTGCTTCATGGCCCAGGCAAGCCTCTTTTTCTTGTTTTGCCATCTTAGCAATGGCTTTCTTACTGCCACTCGACCTGTCAAACCTGCAGCTCGAAGTCTTCTCTTCACAGTTGAAACTGAGACTTGCTTACTTCGACCAGTGTTAAGCTGTGCTTGAAGCTGTTGTCCTGTGAGCCGCCTATCACGCAAGTTGTTGACGCTCAAACTTGTATTCTGATTCTGTTATGGCTTTGGGCTGCCAGACCTCTTCCTGTCAGAGTTTCCTCCAGTTTCCAAGTGCCTTTTGATGGTGTAGGAAACTGTACTCACTGACACATTGGCCTTCTTTGCAATTTCTCTAAAGGAAAACCTACACTTAAGGGTTATGGTCTGTGTCTTCCTTTAATTGCCTTTTTCTCACCATTATGATAGGAATATACTACTTCCTGCAGTACAATACTGTCCAAATAATGCTTAAGAGGGTGTAGTAACACAGTCTGTTCCAACACTGCTTTTATACAGACAGAAGGTTTATAAGTAATCAACAAAAGTTGGGACACCTGTAGCAATTGTTAGCATCAACTTTCAAGGCTTAATTTACTTCCATTGCTGTAAGTTGTTAACCCATTACTTGTTCCCTGAAAAAGGCTTTTTTTTTTATAACACTGAAATGGTCATCATTTTTCAGTTTTTGGTAACCTAAACCTTTTTTTTCTTTAAACCTCTGGCAGTTTACCGCTTACCTTTGTACAGTTTCAGGTTATTCATTGGACTGCTTAAATTTCAATAAAAACTGGAAAAATCGGGGTGTTATAACTTTTGACTGGTAGTGTAAATCTTTAAAACCCCTTTGTATCAAAAGGCCTACCATAACATTGAGTCAGAGTAGTATACTGTACCTGGAAATTATCAACATGATACTTTTCTCCCACTAGATGGCATGATTGTTACACCCTTTGGCAAATCAAAGCTACCCTCCATGTCAGACATACGCCTTTCCTTTTTGGTTTTCGTGAGTGTCAGACTACCAGAAGTATGCAACACAGCACAATTGATTAAATGCAGTGTATGCTGGAACAAAGACACATACCATAAAAAAATACCATGAGACATTTTATTAATTGTATCGTTTTCCCTCCTCCCCATTCTAATTCACACACTGGGGGAATCCAATCTCGCTCCACTGCAAGATGCCCAGAGTGACACACAAGGACATCGGGTCTCACATCCCAAAATGTGGTTTACTGTGAGGCCTTCACTAATGTGTTCCTCCCCAAACAGCTGCATGAAGCGACCACTTGGATCCCCCCCACCCAAAGATCCCACCGCTGACACCATAAGCAATATTTTATTTTAATTTTAAACTATAGACAACTGACAGACGGGAGGAGAACAAATAAACAAAAAAAAGTTACAAGCAGTGAACATCTTTACAGTCTCTTTGGATAATTTGTTCCAATAATTTTGGATGTTAACGCCAGGTATTTTGCAGGTAAGTTCAGGTACTTCACTATCTTTACAAATCTATAAAACAGCCGTTTTACATCCTGGCACAAAATGTCATTTCGGAGGTGGGCATGATTTTCAGGTACAAAAAAATGAGGCATAAACAGTGCAGTCCCTTTAAACAATAAAATCCAAACAGTGCACAAATTTGTAGCCCCCCAAAAATGAACGTGATGATGAGTACTACAAATCGGTATTATATACTTCCAACTTCTCGCTCAGGAATTCTTCCACGCTATCCGTGTTCCACTTGAGGATGCTGAGTTCTTCAGCAATGTTCCCGTTATCGTCCAGCAGCTTTAGTATAGGGTCTGCGCCTCTCACATACTGAAACCAAGCACACAGAGGACTATCAGGACTACAGCCAAGCAAGGTTTACCAATTCAACATAGCCTATAAGATTATACAGTGTAATATTGAAACTTTATGGGTGGCATAGGATTCCTGCTTTTCCATAATGACAGGAGATTATGTTCAAGAATGTGGTTATTTTCATTCCAAAGTTGTATAAAAGCTGTCAGAGAAACAACCACTTCTTTATAGTATTTAACTCAACTAATTCATTGTACGCAACAGGCAAGAGCATCTACAATTCATTTGTACCTTAATTTGAAGACCCTTGAACATCTTCGGCTTGTCAGACCTGACAAAAGCTGTGGACACAAAACAAGGTCAACTCAATATCGAAGGTCTAATGAATTAATCAATTGATGGATAGTTCAATTTTTTTAACAAAGCTTGTAAACAGAAACCGTTGGAAAACATTTTCGGTAATCAAGTTAAACGGACCACAGTTGTGAATGCCAGCGTACAGCTGTCCCAAACACAAACAGTACCATAAGGCACAGGGCTGAGGCTCAACCCCACACAGAGGCAGGATACAATAACAGCCCCTTCATAGCAAACTGACACCAATGAGCTTTACAAGATGGGTGGTCCAACAACAACATATTGACAACTCACCTTGGACTTGAGGGAACCTCCCCAATTTTCATCCACACACTTCCAGGATGGCCCCAGGGTAGAGCTGTGGATAGGGAAAGTACTGCGTTAAGTCCTGCAGTGTACTGTAAAAGCAGATTGTCAGGATGCGGCTCAGGATGTCCACATTGTTCTACTGGGGGTAGCCTAAGCCCTGGGAGCTCAGCTCACTGATGCCCACATCAATAAATTCTAATTGACTAATACATCGGCTCATCACTAAAACCAGCAAAACAACTCCAGACCTCAAGGGCCACAAGCTGGTTCTCCTCCTGCCTTTGACTGACTGGTGATTGCTAGTTACCACGCCATAATCAAGTATGTTTAAATGACATTCATTAATTCATTAATTCCCAGGGAGAAATGAAAAACAGCAGGACTACGGCCCTCGAGAATTGGAGTTGTGCACCTTTGTTCTAAACCAATACTGAGACTTATCTTCACAATCCTTTGGCCAACAAATAATTCAGAACAAGCCAACATCCTTCCTGACTATTAATTTTTACACACTGATGCCCACCCACAGAGAAGCTCCTGGCGGTGAGTTGGCATAATGTGATTCTGGGCAGTCTGATTCATAAACGTGGTAGACAGGCTGTTCTTCAGGGTCATTAAACTGTGAGCCTCCGCATATGGAAAGGGTTCTGACGGATGGCAGCTTTGTGGCCCGTTGGTAATCAAAGCTCCACACCAATACACAATAACTTAGCGGAAATTGGAGTGTCACAGCAGTATTTCACAGGCACGCTGTTACTGGGAACACAAATTAAATTACACCAGCAAGCTTCCTTTCCCCTAAGCCAGGACAGCACATTTTCTTACAACACACTGCATGGAAGGAAGTCACAGTTTTGTTGATTATGGGTGCACATCGACAAAGGCTTGGATACAGACAGGGCTCTAAATTAACATTTTCCATTGGTAGAACTGGTGCTCCCAACTTATAAAAGTTAGAAGCACAACATAAAATGTAGGAGCACCAGAAAATATGATTTTTAATTGATTGAGATATAGCCTATATAGGGCCTATATACATTTCTAGCTACTTTTGAATCACATGTGCCCTAGAAACGAATATTTAACCCTGTAAAATAAGTTTATTATAAAAAGCAAAAATGATACAAAAAATGTTTTAGATTTCTACATACGCTACCAGTCAAAAGTTTGGACACACCTAATTCAAGGGTTTTTCTTTATTTTTACATTGTAGAATAATAGTGAAGACATCAAAACAATGAAATAACACATATGGAATCATGTAGTAACCAAAAACATGTTAAATCAAAATATATTTTATATTTCAGAATATTCAAATAGCCACCCTTTGCCTTGATGACAGCTTTGCATTCGCTTGGCATTCTCTCAACCAGCTTCATGAGGTAGTCACCTGGAATGCATTTCAATTAACAGGTGTGCCTTCTTAAAAGTTAATTTGTGGAATTTCTTTCCTTCTTAATGCGTTTGAGCCAATCAGTTGAGTTGTGACAAGGTATACAGAAGATAGCCCTATTTGGTAAAAGACCAAGTCCATTTTATGGCAAGAACAGCTCAAATAAGCAAAAAGAAATGACAGTCCATCATTACTTTAAGACATGAAGGTCAGTCAATACGGAACATTTCAAAAACTTTGAAAGTTTCTTCAAGTGCAGTCGCAAAAACCATCAAGCGCTATGATGAAACTGGCTGTCATAAGGACCACCACAGGAATGGAAAACCCAGAGTTACCTCTGCTGCAGAGGATATGTTTATTAGAGTTACCAGCCTCAGAAATTGCAGCCCAAATAAATGCTTCACAGAGTTCAAGTAACAGACATCTCAACATCAACTGTTCAGAGGAGACTGCATAAATCAGGCCTTCGTGGTCGAATTGCTGCATAGAAACCACTACTAAAGGACATCAATAATAAGAAGAGACATGCTTGGGCCAAGAAACACGAGCAATGGACATTAGACCGGTGGAAATTTGTCCTTTGGTCTGGAGACCAAATTGGAAATGTTTGGTTCCAACCGCCGTGTCTTTGTGAGACGTGGTGTGGGTGAACGGATGATTTAGGCATGTGTAGTTCCCACCATAAAGCATGGAGTTGGAGGTGTTATGGTGTGGGGGTGCTTTGCTGGTGACACTGTGATTGATTTAGAATTCAAGGCACACTTAACCAGCATGGCTACCACAGCATTCTGCAGCGAAACGCCATCCCATCTGGTTTGGGCTTAGTGGGACCATCATTTATTTTTCAACAGGACAATGACCCAACACACCTCCAGGCTGTGTAAGGGCTATTTGACTAAGAAGGAGAGTGATGGAGTGCTGCATCAGATGACCTGGCCTCCACAATCCCCCGACCTCAACCAAATTGAGATGGTTTGGGATGAGTCGGACGGCAGAGTGAAGGAAAAGCAGCCAACAAGTGCAAAGCTGTCAAGGCAAAGGGTGTCTATTTGAAGAACCTCAAATATAAAATATTTTGATTTGTTTAACACTTTTTTTGGTTACTACATGATTCCATGTGTTATTTCATCGTTTTGATGTCTTCACTTATATTCTACAATGTAGAAAATAGTAAAAATAAAGAAAAACCCTTGAATGAGTAGGTGTGTCCAAACTTTTGACTGGTACTGTATATATTATTTAGTATGTAAAGACAATATTAAATCAAGAATAGTCTGAAGGGTGACAATATTAGCCCATCACTTGTGAATGATATATTATCACTTGATATGATGCCCAGCTTTTGTGCAGTAAGGCAAGAAACAGTGCATGCCTTTTTTCCCACTGACTTTTTCAAATCATAGTCACACATCTCATGTAGCCTATATGTTTTGGTAAGGTTTGTATCACAACTAAAGTGGCCAAATACCTTCTTAAAATGAAGCACATTAAGCCGCTTTACAACGGGTGTAGAGCCTAACTGGCATATACGCAGTGCGTCAGTTTCAAGTTTGGGGAAGATCATTTTCACACAAAAAAATGCACCTTTATAATAAAAGCATTACATGCATAAATCGCATGTGTGGTCACTTGTGATAATGGTGTTTTCCCAGAGCCTTACAAGTGATCTGAGTGAAGACCCAATCAAAACCTTTCCAAGAGGGCTTGGGTCAACAGAGATAGACGAGCGGCAAACACGTAAATACATTCATTGTTTTCTTACTCCGAACGGGCGGTGGTTCGTGAGCAAAGTATTATGATTACTTTGAGGGTAGCTTCCAAATGTATCAACGATAAGTTGACTCTCTTTGTCTTTGTCTCCAAGCAGTCATGCTGTTAGTCCGCTAGGGACTTTTTCCTCATGTATTAAGCGTATGTATTCTGTGTTATTATTTAGTTAGCTAGTAAATAAATAATTGAATCAATTTGGGTAGTACTGAATCCTAAGTAAAGCTGGGGTTCGTGCAGATCCAAGAAGTCTACGACCGTTCAGAATGAGACTGATAAGAGGTAATGATTGATACGTTGACTGTTTTATACATATTGATAGGTAAAGACCTTTTAGAGTTTATTTCGGGAGATGGTAACTCTATAAACAACTTATTCCGTGGTGCCCCAAATCCTAATGAGTTAATTGTTACATGATTCATTTAAAATGGAGTAACAATTAAACATAGTTGATTCGATAAATAACAGTCATCATATTAATGAAAGTCAAGTCACAACAAATAGTAAATGTGGACAGTTCTTCCAACATCTTCAATATGCGCCTCGAAATTCGATATGGACGCGCGCAGTTGCGTCTCCGATGTGTCCGTCTTCACTTGTAGCCCGTGACGGGCATTGGCTAATAAGAATTGAGATATCTGAGAGAGCCATGTGAGTGAGAGGTGCTTCGGAGCACGCAGCCGGGAGAAGGGAATTATAATTATTATATTCAGCACAAGGGCACAACGGCCACTGGCCGCAAAAGGCATGGATTTACGGCCACACAAAAGGGATGCCGTTGTGAAATTTGAGGCATTATTAAGTGCTTGTCAAATTGTTAATGAGATACCAGGCAAAAACTACTTTCCAAGCCAAACCTTTATATCATGACCGCTAACTGCTACACACAGCCTACATCGTTGTCATGTCGTAGTCAACATACTAGAACTAACGCGTTAGTAAACCAACTACAATCATGCAGTACAGTGTACAGTCAGAAAGCTGTTTAGCACTTAGATGCTGACTACACCGGGCATGGACATTTAGCTAGCTAGAGTGTGGACCTCGTTCATCTTTCAATCACCCACGTGGGTATATGCTCCTAAAAACGAATGAGATGGGAGAGGTAGGACTTTCAGCGTGTCAAGCTTCTAAAATAGAACCAAGTTCTATTTTACCGCCTGGCTACACAGATGCTCGTTGAATAACGCGGCCGGTGTGGTCAGCATGTTAAACCGGCAGGCAACGGTGGCAATAAATTAATACAACCAAAAGCTTACCATGACTTGGAAGAGTTCCAGTGTTGGATGGCCATAGCCAGCTAGCATTCCTCTCTGTCTGATCTGGGTGATTGAGTAGGCTAAACTAGCTAGCTGCATTCACTAGCGAAAGTAAAAAAAAATCTCAATTAATTTGTTCAAAACTTTTCAACTATTGTCTCTCTGAGTCAACTACTCAACACATTTTATGCAGTGCTAGCTAGCTGTAGCTTATGCTTTCAATACTAGATTCCTTATCTGATCCTTTGATTGGGTGGACAACATGTCAGTTCATGCTGCAAGAGCTCTGAGGTTGGAGAACATCCTCCGGAAGTTGTCATAATTATTGTGTAAGTCTAAGGAAGGGGGTGAGAACCATGAGCCTCCTAGGTTTTGTATTAGAGTCAATGTACCCAAAGGAGGACAGAAGCTAGCTGTCCTCCGGCTACACCATGGTGATACCCTACAGAGTGCTACGGAGGCTACTGTAGAACTTCAATGCAAAACAGTGTGTTTAAATCAATTATTTGGTGTAGTGAATATATTTAGTATAGTTTTATCTAAAAAGGATAACTTTAATGTTTCACTATTTTTATGAAATTCAGTGGATGGCTCTTCCCTTCCTCCTCTGAGGAACCTCCATTGGACAGCTGATAATGGTGAAGAGACCCAAAGATGATCATCTTCCCAGCAATCAGACTCTACAGCGATCTAATAATAATAACAAGGGCTGAGCAATATGGACAAAAATCCATATAACTGAATCTCAGGTGGTACTATACTTTCCAAATGCACTGTAGATCACTAACTAAAGATAATACCCACACATAGTAGCAATGTATTAATCGAACAGTACATTTGCTATTGAGCTCATAACAGAGTTGAGAAACAGAAAGTAAACCTACAGAAAGCTGAGAGCATCCTCTCCAGCTATGACAACAGGATAGCTGTGTTTCCCAGCAATTGGATTTTAAAATGTTATACAATCATAACCCTTTTCTTTCTTCCGGAGCATTTTTACCCCCTGGGAAAGGAGAGAGTGTGACTCGCTCGGCACAGCAGTAGGCGCCGGCGAAACAGGTACATGGCAAGCAGACACTTTCATTACAGGAATCATGAGGATAAAGTACTTTACTATTCGACTAAATCATGGTTTTAGTCTCCTAAAAAAACTAAATAGGCCGTTTTTAGTGAGGTGAATGAATGTACAGCCCACACAGATGCAACCAATTAAAAATGTTACTCCCACAGGCAGGTGTCAAAAGGTTGCAAAATGGGACTAAATGGTTGCAGTCTGGAGCCCTGCCTTGTAGGCTTTTCACTTTAGGCATACTAACATTTGTTTTACTTCAATGAAAAAGGCCTCCATCTTTGCAATCAACAGTAGCCTAGGCCAAGGCTCCTCTCTCACGCTCCTCAGCAGCAGGGCAGCCCCGGACAATTTGGCCGGCTACAATTTATTGGCCAAAAGTTACCGGCTAACGGAAACTCTGTGCCTGAGTGGCTTTCCATAGCCCCCCTACACACATTGTGGCGCGCTCTGTCTATTGTGCTGACAGAGCATAGGATACAGATTTTGCGCCAAGCTGTCACTCAATCATTTCAACTTTTTTGCTATTTTTATACAGGGACATAAAATTAAAACTGAGGGGGCACAAGTTTCAACTAAGCCCCCTTTTGCCCCCTTGTGGAGCCGGGTATGTGCTGATATACAGTGCTTTCAGAAAGTATTCACACCCCTTGACTTTTTCCACATTTTGTTGTGTTACAGCCTGAATTTAAAATGAATTAAATTGAGGTGTTTGGTCACACATAATACCCCATAATGTTTAAATAAAATTATATTTTTCTAAATTTTTACAAATTAATTTAAAAAAAGAAAAGCTGAAATGTCTTGAGTCAATAAGTATTCAACCCCTTTGTTATGGCAAGCCTACAGTTCTGCAGTAAATATTTGCTTAACAATTCACATAATAAGTTGCATGGACTCTGTGTGCAATAATAGTGTTTTTGAATGACTACATAATCTCTGTACCCCACACGTACAATTATCTGTAAGGTCCCTCAGTCGAGCAGTAAATATCAAACACAGATTCAACCACAAAGACCAGGGAGGTTTTCCAATGTCTCGCAAAGAAGGGCACCTATTGGTAGATGGGTAAAAATAAAAAAGCAGACATTGAATATCCCTTTGAGCATGGTGAAGTTATTAGACTTTGGATGGTGTACCAATACACCCAGTCACTACAAAGATACAGTCGTCCTTCCTAACTCAGTTGCCGGAGAGGAAGGAACCCGCTCAGGTATTTCAACATGAGGCCAATGGTGACTTTAAAACAGTTACAGAGTTTAATGGCTGTGATAGGAGAAAACTGAGGATGGATCAACATTGTAGTTACTCCACAATACTAACCTAATTCACAGAGTGAAAAGAAGGAAGCCTGTACAGAATAAAAATATTCCAAAACATGCATCCTGTTTAGAACAAGGCACTAAAGTAATACCGCAAAGAAATGTCAAAGCAATCCGCTTTTTGTCCTGAATACATTCACTGTGTTATGTTTGGGGCAAATCCAATACATTACTGAGTACCACTCTCCATATTTTCAAGCATAGTGGTGGCTGCATCATGTTATGGGTATGTTGCAATCGTTAAGGACTGGGGAGTTCTTCAGGATAAAAAATTAACTGAATTCAGCTAAGCACAGGCAAAATCCTAGAGGAAAACCTGCTTCAGTCTGCTTTCCACCAGACACTGGGAGATGAATTCACCTTTCAGCAGGACAATAACCTAAAACACAAGGCCAAATCTACACTGGAGTTGCTTACCAAGAAGACAGTGAACGTTCCGAGTTACAGTTTTTACTTAAATCTGCTTGAAAATCTATGACAAGACTTGAAAATGGTTGTTTAGCAATGATCAACAACCAATTTGACAGAGCTTGAAAAATGTGAAAATAATAATGGGCAAATGTTGCACAATCCAGGTGTGGAAAGCTCTTATAGACGTACCCACTTACTCAAAGCTGTAATCACTGCCAAAAGTGATTCGAACATGTATTGACTCAGGGGGTTGAATGTAATCAAGATATTCGTTTTTTGTTTGTTTTTTTTATCACATTTTTCACTTTGACAGAGTATTTTGTGTAGATCGTTGACCAAAAAATGACAACTAAATCTATTTTAATCCCACATTGCAACACAACTAAATGTGGAAAAAGTCAAGGGGTTTGAATACTTTCTGAAGGCACTGTAGCTGATCCCATGAGTCGATCCTTGCTTATACAGCTCACTACATCCTCTCCTCGCCTCTCATTGGCACTGGTCCGAGTAGGACTGACCGGGTGAAACTCAGCCTATTGATGAGCTTCCAGCACATTATTTTCACCTGAAAAGTATTTTCCAATAAGTGCAGATGAATGGACAGAGACAACGAGGACAATTGATACACCCATAGATAGTCTAAATGCAGCCTAATGTCTTACCTTCCTGGACTCCATATGGGCCTCCTGCTGGCAGCACTGTCTGCAGACAGGCTGGATCGAACTCAGGCTGAACTCCCCCAGCAGGTCACAGGAGCTGCACAGGAGGTTGCTGGAAAAGCCCAGCTCCCTGCATGCCTCTGAGGACAGGTCGGCTCCATATGCCGACAGCTGTGCAGGAGAATTGGAGAGACATTGGATTGGTTGTCACTTATTCTTATGTGCATTTCCATTTCCTGTAATATCTTGTGTTTCACCGAGTCGTGGCTGAACGATGACATTGATAACATACAGCTGGCGGGATATACGCTACATCGGCAGGATAGAACGGCTGACTCCGGTAAGACAAGGTGTGGCGGTCTGTGTATATTTGTAAACAACAGCTGGTGCATAAAATCTAACACTAAGGAAGTCTCAAGGTTTTGCTCGCTGGAGGTAGAGTAACTCATGATAAGTTGTAGACCACACTATTTTCCAAGAGAGTTTATCTATATTTTTCGTAGCTGTCTATCTACCACCACAAACAGATGCTGGAACTAAGATTGCACTCAATGAGCTGTATAAGGCCATAAGTAAACAGGAGAATGCTCATCCAGAGGCAGCGCTCCTAGTGGCCAGGGACTTTAATGCAGGGAAACTTAAATCCGTTTTACCTAATTTCTACCAGCATGTTAAATGTGCAACCAGAGGAAAAAAAAAACTCTAGACCACCTTTACTCCACACACAGAGACACATACAAAGCTCTCCTTCGCCCTCCATTTGGCAAATCTGACCATAACTCTATCCTCCTGATTCCTGCTTATAAGCTAAAACTAAAGCAGGAAGCACCAGTGACTCGGTTAATTAAAAAAAGTGGTCAGATGAGATGCTAAGCTACAGGACTGTTTTGCTAGCACAGACCGGAATATGTTCCGGGATTCTTCAGATAGCATTGAGGAGTACACCACATTTGTTACTGGCTTCATCAATAAGTGCATTGATGATGTAATCCCCACAGTGACCGTACATACATACCCCAACCAGAAGCCATGGATTACAGGCAACATCCGCACTGAGCTAAAGGGTAGAGCTGCCACTTTCAAGGAGCGGGACTCTAACCCGGAAGCTTATAAGAAATCCCGCTATGCCCTCCGACGAACCATCAAACAGTCAATACAGGACTAAGATTGATTCGTACTACACCGGCTCTGACACTCGTCGGATGTGGCAGGGCTTGAAAACTATTACAGACTACAAAGGGAAGCACAGCCACGAACTGCCCAGGCTCACATCAACACCATTATCCCAGAAACCCTAGACGCACTCCAATTTGCATACCGCCCCAACAGAGCCACAGATGATGCAATCTCTATTGCACTCCACACTGTCCTTTCCCACCTGGACAAGAGGAACACCTACGTGAGAATGCTATTAATTGACTACAGCTCAGCGTTCAACACCATAGTGCCCTCAAAGCTCATCACTAAGCTAAGGATCCTGGGACTAAACACCTCCCTCTGCAACTGGATCCTGGACTTCCTGACGGGCCGCCCCCAGGTGTTAAGGGTAGGTAACAACACGTCTGCCACGCTGATCCTCAACACGGGGGCCCCTCAGGGGTGCGTGCTCAGTCCCCTCCTGTACTCCCTGTTCACCCATGACTGCATGGCCAGGCACGACTCCAACACCATCATTAAGTTTGCCGACGACACAACAGTGGTTCTGAGACAGCCTATAGGGAGGTCAGAGACCTGGCCGTGTGGTGCCAGGATAACAACCTCTCCCTCAAGGTGATCAAGACAAAGGAGATGATTGTGGACTACAGGAAAAAAAAGAGGACTGAGCACGCCCCCATTCTCTTCGACGGGGCTGTAGTGGAACAGGTTGAGAGATTCAAGTTCCTTGGTGTCCACATCACCAACAAACTATCATGGTCCAAACACACCAAGACAGTCGTGAAGAGGGCATGACAAAACCTATTCCCCCTCAGGAGACTGAAAAGATTTGGCATGGGTCCTCAAGATCCTCAAAACGTTATACAGCTGCACCATCGAGAGCATCCTGACTGGTTGCATCACCGCCTGGTATGGCAACTGCTAGGCCTCCGACCGCAAGGCACTACAGAGGGTAGTGCGTACGGCCCAGTACGTCACTGGGGCCAAGCTTCCTGCCATCCAGGACCTCTATACCAGGCGGTGTCAGAGGAAGGCCCTAAAAATTGTCATAGACTGTTCTCTCTTGTACCGCACAGCAAGCGGTACCGGAGCGCCAAGTCTAGGTCCAAAAGGATTTTCAACAGCTTCTACCCCCAAGCCATAAGACTTCTGAACAGCTAATCATGGCTACATTTACATTACATTTAAGTCATTTAGCAGACACTCTTATCCAGAGCGACTTACATTTAGTGAGTGCATACATTATTTTTTTACTTTTCATACTGGCCCCCCTTGGGAATCGAACCCACAACCCTGGCGTTGCAAATGCCATGCTCTACCAACTGAGCTACTTCCCTGCCGGCCATTCCCTCCCCTACCTTGGACGACGCTGGGCCAATTGTGCGCCGCCCCATGGGTCTCCCGGTCGCGGCCGGCTACGACAGAGCCTGGATTCGAACCAGTATCTCTAGTGGCACAGCTAGCACTGCGATGCAGTGCCTTAGACCACTGTGCCACTCGGGAGGTTACCCGGACCCCACCCCACCCCACCCCACCCCATCCCCCTCTTTTATGCTGCTGCTACTCTGTTTATTATTTATGCATTTTTCTTTAAAAAACTGCATTGTTGGTTAAGGGCTTGTAAGTAAGCATTTCACTGTAATGTCTACACCTGTTGTATTCGGCGCATGTGGCAAATACAATTTGATTTGATTTAGCCACAACCGTTTCACAGGTTGAGTATAGGATAGCATTCCAATCAGTAATGTGGAAGAATCTCACATTAAAGTGGGGTGGTAGAAATTATTTATATAAACATTAATTTATATACACATCATTGGGTCGTGGGCATGTAACCCGTTTTAATACTCGCGTTCATCTTCACACACTTACGTCGAAATACAACAATCAGGTTAGCTAGCTAGAATGTTTGCAGAATCTCAGCTGCTGTTTCGCCGTGATTGGCTCTTTCCTTTGTCACTTCAGTCTTTCATCTATCAGAACTCGCGTTAAATCGGGTCACTGAGCAGTTGCACAGTTTGTTTGCGTTAAAGTGCAGTATGTATGTGTTAACGTTTGATATGTCTTGCAATGGAATATTAGTTTGACCATTTGTAGCTAGCTGGTTAACGAATCAACTGTCGTAAACCGGTGCGATTTTGAAAAGCCACGTCATTCGTTTCAAGCTAGCTAGACTGTCGCAGCAAAGGAGTGGGTATAAATCGAGTGTAGCAAAAGAAAACCTGCCATCCGATGAACGCTGAGCTATCGGCGACAAAAATGTATACTTGTGGCTATTCTTATTTTTGTTGATAAACCTACCGTTTGTATGAGAGAAAGAAGCCACAGGAGATACACCTCCCCAGACATTTTTGGAGATTGCTTTGTTAGGAAAAATATATTGAGGACCCCTTAAAAGTAGGAAGTAGTATTGCCAACTGCCTGATGTCCTGTAAATTGCAATATACACGTTTTTTGGTTTCTCTTTATATTCAACACACTATAATTATATATTTGCAAGAATAATCTCTGATTGTTTATCCTTATTCGTCTAAAAGTTGTAATTGGTCATTTTTCTTCCTCTTTTCACATGGCTAAGAGAAAGGCACCTTCTGTTCTTCTTTGATCGGTCACAGTTATATTCCATTCGCACGTGGACACCGCCCCCTGTTGCCAAATTCAAGAACTGTTTAAAATGTGTCCAATCCCGTTTCAACAGATTTGACTGTTGACGAATGAAAAGCCTATTCAGTTTAGTGGACTGTTGGTCCCACCAATAGGGGTTTTGTAACTAATTAAGTCATCCGACGAAGATAGGCGTGCGGAGTAAACTGAACGCGACACAGTTCTAGAGAGGAAGAATCGCAGGCACCGAGGAACGCAAGGCCGCTTCTGTTGACACCCTTGTGAGGGGGGAATATCTCAACGTCAAGACGGCATTGTGGTTTCATGCAGTTCTCTTTTATGAGAGTACATTATCCTATGAAACAAATAATTTGGAGCTGAGTGTGTTCCCTACTGAACAATCAGGTATGTAAACACTGGACAATAACAATTCAAATGCACACAAATTCGCTCTGTAATTGACAACGTTCCACTGCCTTCTATGTTGTATTTTCTAAACAAGGAATGACCTGTTCTCACTGGATTGTTTGATGGGGCTACTAAGGACCATGATGCCGCCCAAGTTTCAGCTTCTGGCGCTATTGGCATTTGCAGTGGCCATGTTCTTTTTGGAGAACCAAATCCAGAAGCTGGAGGAGTCTCGGGGGAAGCTAGGTAAGACTGCATTCTAACTGTCCATATTCATCATGCTGCTCGCAGCAGGTAATAAAACAAGGAAAATGAGTCTTTCATCCAATAGGGGTTGAATCATTGCTAAGCGTCTTGTCAGCATGGTTGCCAATTTGGGGTTATCTTGAGACAACAACATTCTGTCTCCGTGTGAAGTGACAAACTGGCATTTTCAGGGCAAACCCAGGAGCATATATATACTGACCCAATTTACAGTCAAGTTGTGTTTTTGCTTGTTTACACTAAGCTGCACTGAGGTCGGAACGCAGTCATGGTTACATTTAGCCCAAAATTGGACTAAAGGTGCCTAAGGTTGCTCCTTAGTCCAAGGACCATACATAGTCTGTTTAAAGGGCGAATTGGCTCTGGAAGCCAAAACAGCCAAATACTCCATCTAAACGTGAATCAATTCTCAATTGCTGTACGGTTCTAGAAACATAAAACCCTCTACTTTAATATCGCATCAAAATCATGGCAGCACTGTCTGCAGACGTGCTGGATCAAGCTCAGGCTGAACTCCCCCAGCAGGTTACAGGAGCTGCACAGGAGGTTGCTGGAAAACCCCAGCTCCCTGCATGACTGAGGACAGATCGGCTCCATACGCTGAGCAGGAGATAATGGAGAGACATTGGATTGGTTGTCACTTATTTGTAAGTGCATTTCTGTTTTTTTCCATGGCTTGCCATGATTGACTTTTTGCTTTGTCACCTGTCACTTCGGTCTTTATCATCAATCAGGACTCTCGTTAATCAGGTAGAGCGCACGCAGTTGCGTAAATGTTTGCGTTAAAGTGCAATATGTACGTTTGAGATTTCTTGCAATGGAATATCCGTTTTACCATTTACATTTACATTTTAGTCATTTAGCAGACGCTCTGTAGTTAGCTGGTTAACGAATCAACTTGACAAACTTTGTCGTAAACCAGTGCGAGTTTGATAAGCCACGTCATGCTGTTCAAGCTAGTTAGAATGTCGCAGCAAAGGAGTGGGTATAAATCGAGTGTAGTAAAATAACATTCCATCTGATCAAATCTGAGCTATGGGCAACAAATGTATTGTGGCTATTCTTATTTTTGTTGATAAATTTAACAAAAAGTTAACATCCCCGACGCTCGTTCTGAATATTTTAAGCGGTTTTGGAAACTGATAAGGAACATATTTCATATCAGTACAAAATCATTAAAAAAAAAAGAATAATTCATAGTTAAATTACTACACAACTTTTATAAGGTAAGGGTTAGTGTTCCCACATGGCCATATCTCCACGTTACATAGTTTTTTTACGGAAGACATAGGCCACCTGTGTGAAATGGGACAAATATAAGCACCCACCAAATTATTATTAATTAGCTATCTAGCGTGCTCCAAACGTGTGTAAAGGAGTCGGCATGCTTCAGTTCGGCTGGCGCCTAGCCGAGCTCGGCTAACCGAACGATTGTGCTCGCATACTCTCTTAAAATACCGCCGCTTGAAAAAACGAGGAAAAAAAGTGGCAATAGTACTGTTTGTCCATTTTGAGACGCCGTAGTCACTTCCTCAAAATAGTCAGAATTAATTTAGGATAACTCAGGAAATCTGTAATTTATTTTGACATTTGTGCCGAGGAGATCTTAGTCGCGCAATTTTGCATCTGACTAGGATGTTTGGTGCAGTATTTCTCAAGTGAAAGAATTAGCACGAGGACGAGTCGTCTCTCGTTGAATGACAACAGGCACTTCATTGATTAAACCCTACTGTTGACCAATCGCCGACGAGGGGGCATAGACTTTGGCTACCGACTTGGGCTTACCTCGAGAAAAAATGGTGTGTACCCAAACAGCCGAATAAACCCTTGCCGAAGTCCAAAATAAACTAAAATGTCACAATGCATTCGAAAAGTATTCAGACCCCTTGACTTTTTCCACATTTTGTTACGTTACAGCCTTATTCTAAAATTGATTAAATAAATAAAAAATACTCAATCTACACACTACCCCATAATGACAAAGCGAAAACAGGTTTTTAGAAATGTTTGCTAATTTATTTTAAAAAAAGATACCTTATGTAAATAAGTATTCAGACCCTTTGCTATGAGACTCGAAATTGAGCTCAGGTGCATCCTGTTTCCGTTGATCATCCTTAAGATGTTTCTACAACTTGATTGGAGTCCACCTGTTGTAAATTCAGTTGATTGGACATGATTTGGAAAGGCACACACCTGTCTAAATAAGGTCCCACAGTTGACAGTGCATGTCAGAGCAAAAACCAAGCTATGAGGTCGAAGGAATTATCCATAGAGCTCCGAGACAGGATTGTGTTGAGGAACAGATCTGGGGAAGGGTACCAAAAAATGTCTGCAGCATTGAAGGTCCCCAGGAACAGTGGTTTCCATCGTTCTGAAATGGAAGAAGTTTGGAACCACCAAGACTCTTCCTAGAGCTGGCTGCCCGGCCAACCTTAGCAATCGGGGGAGAAGGGCCTTGGTCAGGGAGGTGACCAAGAACCTAATGGTCACTCTGACAGAGCTCCAGAGGTCCTCTGTGGAGATGGGAGAACCTTCCAGAAGGACAACCATCTCTGCAGCACTCCGCCAATTAGGCCTTTATGGTAGCGTGGCCAGACGGAAGCCACGCCTCAGTAAAAGGGCATATGACAGCCCGCTTGGAGTTTGCCAAAAGGCATCTAAAGGACTCTCTGACCATGACAAACAAGATTATCTGGTCTGATGAAACCAAGATTGAACTCTTTGGCCTGAATACCAAGCTTCACGTCTGGAGGAAACCTGGCACCATCCCTAGGGTGATGCATGGTGGTGGCAGCATCATGCTGTGGTGATGTTTTTTAGCGGCAGGTACTGGAGGACTAGTCAGGATCGACCTCAAACTGGGGCGAAGGTTCACCTTCCAACAGGACAACGACCCTAAGCACACAGCCAAGACAACGCAGGAGTGGCTTCGGGACAAGTCTCCGAATGTCCTTGAGTGGCCCAGCCAGAGCCCGGACTTGAACCCGATCAAACATCTCTGGAGAGACCTGAAATAAGCTGTGCAGCGACGCTCCCCATCCAACCTGACAGAGCTTGAGAGGATCTGCAGAGAAGAATGGGAGACACTCCCCAAATACAGGTGTGCCAAGCTTGTAGCTTCATACCCAAGAACACTCAAGGCTGTAATCGCTGCCAAAGGTGCTTCAACCAAGTACTGAGTAAAGGGTCTGAATACTTATGTAAATGTTATATATATTATTAATCTTAACATTTCTAAACTTTCAACAACAACAAAAAGGAAACAGTTTTTGCTTTTTCATTATGGGGTATTGTGTGTAGATTGATGAGGGAAAAAAACTATTTAATCCATTTTCGAATAAGGCTGTAATGTAACAAAATGTGGAAAAAGTGAAGGGGTTTGAATGCTTTCCGAATTTACTGTATTTCATAAACATCCAGACCTTTTTACAGAGCACGATGTAATACAAGTATGGAGAAAGACTAAAGATTTGAATGATGGTCATTTCATTTCAAGTGTTAGCATGCACTGTGTGGGACCATTGGGATTAGAACAAATCGCTATCAGCCCATTCAATGTGCATTCTCATGTGTAGGCATTAGCCTATTATTGGCAACCTCCATTTGCATGGTGGAATAAAAATGGAAGAATAATTTAAAGAAATGGCCTTGCTGTGCGTGTCGTGCCACAGAAACCTGTTTTTGCATATAAAACATAAGTTAAAAAAGAATGTCTTCTAAACAACCCACTCATTTCAACGAACTGTGATTGTAATGAAGGATCATGGTGGTCCCATAACAAATATTGGGAGGATATCTGAATGTTCTGGGTGGACAGCTAAATAAATAGCTGAAACAACACAGAAAATGGAGATCAACATCTGGTGTGGTGAATGCACCAATTTGTAGTCGCTCTGGATAAGAGCGTCTGCTAAATGACGTAAATGTGCCCTTGAGCAAGGCACTTAACCCTAATTGCTCCTGTAAGTCGCTCTGGATAAGAGCGTCTGCTAAATGACTAAAATGTAAATGTAAAATGTGTGCAAAAACACAAGATGCTGAAACAAGACTTAAAGGGAGCTGTCCCCTTACAGCGTACTCCAATAATTTGTTGACTTGGCAATACGTCTGATTGATCCATGGACGGAACAAAGGTCTCTATACACTGGAGCCGTGAATTATGTGCTGCATAGTCAAACAGTTCTGAGGTATAAGGCAGGGCAACATGGTGGACACCCCTGGCTGTCTAACCAGGTTCTGATGCATTTCTCCCATCTACATTGAGAAAGCAAGTTGTATATTTATATGGCCCATTTTATTGCACACTCCAATATTGCCCATTCACAACTTATTTTCTTATCTGCTTTTTGCTCCCTGTGTCATTCATATCTTGTTACTTTACTCAGAGGTGGAATCACTTTTCCTATTAGAAGTCTCCGCAGAGAAGCCGTTGTGATTTGCTTCCAGGCAAATTGTTAGTGGTTTGGTAACTCTGCCTAGATTGCAATCATCCCATGACTTTAAAGATCTGTGTATCCTGTAGCTAGCATGATCTGTTATCTGGTGACACATTCTTAGTGTCCTCTTATGCCAGGTAAGGATGGCACAGATATTTTGTAGAAATGTAAGATGCTTTAGCATTAGCACGTGGGGGGGGGGGGGCTGACTGGGTGCTTTCCCCATTGGCCGTAACTCTAGAGGGGGAGTCATGCTACGCTTGCTAACAGCCTCGTAAATAGAAGCACTGTTTATAAACCTGTCACCTCATGGCCCATGTAACTAACTAGGCTATGTATCTAAGTTTAACCCCCACACCAGTCTCCACTATGGTCCCCATATGTTCCCTGAGGAGCAATGAGCTAAGTTAGTCACCAAGTAATGTTATAGCCAATGAGTGTGGTTGGTTGGCCTGAGCTTGATTTAATAGTTTTTCTCACATTGTACCTGAGTGAAACATTCTAACTGAAGTGAGGTTGCATAACACAAATTGTTACTCTAACACCAACTCTTTCATTGGTGTCAACAGTCAATTACACACAGGTATCAAGAGTCAGAAAAGACAGCATTTTTGTATAGTCTAGGCCAGAGCTGTGTATATAAATGTAGGCTCTGGTCGAGGCCTGGTTGTATCATTCATTTAACCTCGCTAGTAGGTTATTGAGGAGTGGCCAACTTGACTCCCTCTGATCTAACTCTCTTTTTTTCGCTAGCTCTCTCTTTATCGGCCAATATCCGGAGCACTCAGATTCCCTTTGAACTCCTTTTGACACCATGGAGATATTTTTAGCCTCCCGGGGTTATAAAAAAGCCTGAGTCATGTCTGTTGGCTGGCATTCACTACAGAGTGGCTACTGTACGTACATGTCTAAGTATCTGCAACATGCGTATTTGAGTGCCTAATGGCTTGGATCCCACTGTGGAAACGCAGGTGTCAGGAATGGATTTGGTGTGGGCAGAGTGCTAATGGCCCTAATTTCGAGCAGTTAGGTCCCTGATTTGGTGTATTTATGGCCATTGGCTTGCACTTTAAAGAATGTGTTCCCGTGAAGTTCTGTGCTACATTTTTGTGCACAGTTGCGACCAGATGACTGACAGGCTAATCACGGTGTTATGAACTGTTTCGCAACCCGGAGTGTAATTGAGACCGCTCTCCTCGAGCACACGTTTTTCCCTTGTCGGTTTCCAAGGGGTTTGACGAACGATGCGGTCGGTGTGGTTAAGCATGCGTGAACGCAGGTGTCGTTTATTCGAGGCGGGTAACTATCACTTTATAACACTGGTCAACATCCCTATGAGAGACAGCTGAAACAGAGCTTCTTTAGACTGGCACTGTCATCATAACGGATAATCGTATTACTTTTACATTTACATTTACATTTTAGTCATTTAGCAGACGCTCTTATCCAGAGCGACTTACAGTTAGTCACATTATTATTATTTTTTTTCATACCCCCTGTGGGAATCGAACCCACAACCCTGGCGTTGCAAACGCCATGCTCTATCAACTGAACTACATCCCTGCTTTTCAGCGGAGTCCTTCCTTTGCTAGGCAATAACCATAAACAGCCTCTTTTATCTGGAGTCTGGGATGCTACTGCAGTGCAAGATGATAATCCCCTGTGGCCAAACAGCCTTTGGATAGAAGTCTGAAATTGGGAGGGGGTGTATTACATTTTCAACACAACATTTTTTAAACCCCTGGTAGCTCCCATCATAAGCCTCAACAAAAGGAGGGGAGAGAGACATGCCTGCAGCGTTTTACAACCAATTTCATCGCGGAATAGAGGGATAAGGCAGTCTGGCAGAACTGTTCCACTTCTCTCCTCCTGCCTTGCATTTAACTTCCACCTTCTATACAGCAACTGAATCCTACTATCAGCTCTAGGGGGAACTGAGTTTCTCTGCTGCTCTGGCAGACTTTCTCCTCAGCATTGCAGTGCACTGTGAGTGCTGGCAGTCTGGTACACTGTGTGCCGAGACTGCCTAGGGACAGCCTCTTACCACAGAAGTGGTGTGTCATAGAAAGGCCAGTTGGAACACTCAAGATGTTCTTGTTCATGAATGATCTTAATCAATTCATTAGCTGCTGCCGTAGTTCATGTAGCCTGGTTAAACCAGACTGAATGGATCGCTTTTCATTGTTTCACTTCACAATAGTGTGCAGTGTTCAGTCTGATTTAACCAAATTCAAATTCAGTCATTCAAAGATAATTCGTAAAAATACCCTTAATTGTAAAGGGTTTAAAAACTGTTTCCCATGTTTATTCAATGAACCATAAACAATTAATGAACATGCAGCTGTGGAACGGTCGTTAAGACACTAACAGCTTACAGACGGTAGGCAATTTAAGGTCACAGTTATGGAAACGTAGGACACTAAAGAGGCCTTTCTACTGACTCTGAAAAACACCAAAAGAAAGATGCCCAGGGTCCCTGCTCATCTGCGTGAACGTGCCTTAGGCATGCTGCAAGGAGGCATGAGGACTGCAGATGTGGCCAGGGCAATAAATTGCAATGCCCGTACTGTGAGACGCCTAAGACAGTGCTACAGGGAGACCGGATGGACAGCTGATCGTCCTCGTGGTGGCAGACCACGTATAACAACACCTGCACAGGATTGGTACATCTGAACATCACACCTGCGGGACAGCTACAGGATGGCAACAACAACTGCCCGAGTTAAACCAGGAACGCACAATCCCTCCATCAGTGCTCAGACTGTCCGCAATAGGCTGAGAGACATCACCGGCAACAACATCGCCTATGGGCATAAACCCACCGTCGCTGGGCTGGACCAGACAGGACTGGCAAAAAGTGCTCTTCACTGACGAGTCGCAGTTTTGTCTCACCAGGGGTGATGGTCTGAATCACGTTTATCGTCTAAGGAATGAGCATTACACCGAGGCCTGTACTCTGGAGCGGGATCGATTTGGAGGTGGAGGGTCCGTCATGATCTGGGGCAGTGTGTCACAGCATCATCGGACTGAGCTTGTTGTCATTGCAGGCAATCTCAACGCTGTGCATTACAGGGAAGACATCCTCCTCCCTCATGTGGTACCCTTCCTGCAGGCTCATCCTGACATGACCCTCCAGCATGACAATGCCACCAGCCATACTGCTCGTTCTGTGCGTGATTTCCTGCAAGACAGGAATGTCAGTGTTCTGCCATGGCCAGCAAAGAGCCCGGATCTCAATCCCATTGAGCACGTCTGGGACCTGTTGGATCGGAGGGTGAGGGCTAGGGCCATTCCCCCCAGAAATGTCTGGGAACTTGCAGGTGCCTTGGTGGATGAGGGGGGTAACATCTCACAGCAAGAACTGGCAAATCTGGTGCAGTCCATGAGGAGGAGATGCACTGCAGTACTTAATGCAGCTGGTGGCCACACCAGATACTGACTGTTACTTTTGATTTTGACCCCCCCCTTTGTTCAGGGACACATTATTCAATTTCTGTTAGTCACATGTCTGTGGAACTTGTTCAGTTTATGTCTCAGTTGTTGAATCTTGTTATGTTCATACAAATATTTACACATGTTAAGATTGCTGAAAATAAACGCAGTTGACAGTGAGCGGATGTTTCTTTATTTGCTAAATCTATAGATTGAAATGGTTGTAAAGATGGGGAGAGGTCTGTCCGTAATAAAGAGATGCTCTGCTTTTTTGACACCAGACTCCACAAAGCAAGTCCTGCAGGCTCTAGTTGTATCTTATCTCAAATATTGTCCAGTCATATGGTCAAGTGCTGCAAAGAAAGACCTAGTTAAGCTGCAGCTGGCCCAGAACAGAGCGGCAAGTCTTGCTCTTCATTGTAATCAGAGGGCTAATGTTTAATACTATGCATGCCAGTCTCTCTTGGCTGAGAGTTAAGGACAGACTGACTGCGTCACTTCTTGTTTTTAGAAGAAACATTGGAAATTCCAATTTCTTTGCATGGTCAACTTACACAGAGCACTGAGACACACACTTACCCCACCAGATATGCCACCAGGGGTCTTTTCACAGTCCCCAGGTCCAGAACAAATTCAAGCAAACATACAGTATTATACAGAGCCTTGAGTGCATGGAACTCCCTTCCATCTTATATAGTCCAAGTGAACAGCAAACCTGGTTTCAAAAAACAAATAAAACAACACCTCACAGCACAAAGCCTCTCCCCATGTGACCTACTGGTTGTGTGGATGTACTGACATGTATGTGTAACTGATAGATGCACAGACACACACACACACACACTACATGTTAATATTTTTAAATGTTTGTCTGTAATGTCTTTCGTTGTGTCGGACCCCAGTAAGAATAGCTGTCGCTAATGGGGATCCTAATAAATCAAATAAAAATAAAAACCACCACCATGCTTGACCGTTGGTATGAGGTTCTTACTGTGGAATGCAGTGTTTGTTTTTTTGCCAGACATAACGAGACCCATGTCATCCAAAAGTTCCATCTTTGACTGATCTGGCCATAGAACATTCTTCCAGGAGTCTTTTTACGATATTCAAGGTGCCTTTAGGCACTTTTTGGCAAACTCGAGTCGACTTTTTGGACATCATGGATCCCGTTATGTCTGGTGAAAAACCAAACACTGCATTCCACAGTAAGAACGACGGTTAAGCATTGTGGCAGTAATAAGGGTGGGCATTTGACATTTTTTGACTGTTCAAGTACTCGCATGATCTTTTTGCGAGTACTCGATTGGGAGTAAAAAATATATATTTTTAGAACACGAGGCCTGCACTGGAAAACATGTGTGCATTTATCTACACTGAACAAAACTATATAAACGCAACATGCAACAATTTCAAAGACTTTACTGAGTTACAGTTCATATAAGGAAATCAGACAATTTTAATAAATTCCTAATGCCCTAATCGATGGATTTCACATGACTGGGAATACAGATATGCATCTGTTGGTCACTGATACCTTAAAAAAAGTAGAGGCATGGATCAGAAAACCAGTCAGTATCTGCTATGACCACCATTTGCCTCATGCAGCACGACACATCTCCTTCGTATAGAGTTGATCAGGCTATTGATAGTGGCCTATGGAATGTTGTTCCACTCCTCTTCAATGGCTGTGCGAAGTTGCTGGATATTGGTGGGAACTGGAACACGCTGGCGTATACGTTGATCCAGAGCTTCCCAAACATGCTCAATGGGTGACATGTCTGGTGAGTATGCAGGCCATGGAAGAACTGGGACATTTTCAGCTTCCAGGAATTTTGTACAGATCCTTGCTACGTGGGGCCTTGAATTATCATGCTGAAACGTGAGGTGATGGCGGCGGTTGAATGGCACGACAATGGGCCTCAGGATCTCATCACGGTATCTCTGTGCATTCAAATTGCCATCGATAAAATGCAATTGCGTTCGTTGTCCGTAGCTTATGCCTGCCCATACCATAACCCCCCCGCCACCATGGGGTACTCTGTACACAACATTGACATCAGCAAACAGCTCGCCGTCTGCCATCTGCCCGGTACAGTTGAAACTGGGATTCATCCGTGAAGAGCACACTTCTCCAGCGTGCCAGTGGCGATCGAAGGTGAACATTTGCCCGCTGAAGTCGGTTACGACGCCAAACTGCAGTCAGGTCAAGACCCTGGTGAGGACGACGAGCACACAGATGAGCTTCCCTGAGACGGTTTCTGACAGTTTGTGCAGAAATTATTCGGTTGTGCAAACCACCTGACTGACCATCCATTATATAAAAATAATCGTTTTAACCATGTTTTGAGGCTATTAAGTGTTTGTTTACATTTTCTTTGTTTGCAAACATTGGAGTAAAACCAAGCTTATATTTTGGGTTCTGTTGGGGTACGACAGTTGAACTAAGCTCATGAGGCATTTAAAGTTATGTTCTTCAAGAATCTATGGGTACATATCTTTAATTTATAAGACAAAACATTTATGTAGCAACTGATGATTAAGCAACTTAATTATCAAGTTTTGACGTCCGTTCGAGTACTTAAGTACTCTATTTACTCATGACCATCCCTAGGTGGTAGTGTGATGGTTTTAGGATACTTTGCTGCCTCAGGATCTGGATGACTTGCCATCATTGAAGGAACCCTGAATTCTGCTCTGTATCAGATCATCCTAATGAATGTCAGGTCATCTGTCCATGAGCTGAAGCTGAAGCGCAGCTGAGTCATGCAGCAAGACAATGATCCAAAACACACAAGCAAATTTACATCAGAATCAGAAAAGCAACCCATTTTAAGCTTTGGAATGGCCTAGTCAAAGTCCAGACCTAAACCCGATTGGAGATGCTGTGGCAAGACCTGAAACAAGCAGTTCATGCTTGAAAATCCAGATGTCGATGAGTTAAAGCATTTCTGCATGGCACAGTGGGCTGAAGGAACTGTCCGTAGAGCTCCGAGACAGGATTGTGTCAATGCACAGATCTGGGGAAGGGTACCAAAACAATTCTGCAGCATTGAAGGTCTCCAAGAACACAGTTGCCTCCATCATTCTTAAATGGAAGAAGTATGGAACCACCAAGTCTCTTCCTAGAGCTGGCCGCCCGGCAAAACTGAGCAATCGGGGGAGAAGGGCTTTGGTCAGGGAGGAGACAAAGAACCCGATGGTCACTCTGACAGAGCTCCAGAGTTCCTCTGTGGAGATGGGAGAACCTTCCAGAAGGACAACCATCTCTGCAGCACTCCACCAATCAGGTCTTTATGGTAGTGTGGCCAGACGGAAGCTACTCCTCAGTAAAAGGCACATGACAGCCCGCTTGGAGTTTGCCAAAAGGCACCTAAAGGACTCTCAAACCATGAGAAACAAGATTCTCTGGTCTGATGAAACCAAGATTGAACTCTTTGGCCTGAATGCCAAGCGTTACATCTGGAGGAAACCTGGCACCATCCCTACGGGAAAGCAAGAATAGCGCATGAGGAGATGGCTGCCGTTTTACGGACTCCTAACCAATTGTGCTATTGTGTGTGTGTGTTCTTTTAAGTTATTTGTAACTTATTTTGTACATAATGTTTCTGCCACCGTCTCTTATGACCGAAAAGAGCTTCTGGATATCAGGACAGCGATTACTCACCTCGTACTGGACAAAGATTTTTACTTTAACGAGTCGGACGCGAAGGATTTTCTTCAGACACCCGACAAGGCCCAAATCCCCTTCATTCGCATTAGAGATATCGGGGATATAGGTCGGGGTGCCTTGTAAGGATCCGACGGCGAGTGGGTAATCTGCCTCTACCGTCAGTCCTATTAGCCAACATACAATCATTGGATAACAAAATAGACTAACTATGATCAAGGATATCCTACCAACGGAACATAAACTGTAATATCTTATGTTTCACTGAGTCGTGGCAGAACGACGACATGAATAACATACAGCTGGCGGGATATACGCTGCATCTGCAAGATAGAACAGCTTCCTCCGGTAAGACAAGGAGTGGCGGTCTGTGTATATTTGTAAACAACAGCTGGTGCACGGAATCTAATATTAAGGAAGTCTTGAGGTTTTGCTCGCCTGAGGTAGAGCATCTCATGATAAGCTGTAGACCACACTATCTACCAAGAGTTTTCATCGATATCTTTCGTGGGCTGTCTATTTACCACCACAAACCGATGCTGGCACTAAGACCGCACTCAATGAGCTGTATAAGGTCATAAGCAAACATGAAAACGCTCATCCAGAGGCGGAGCTCCTAGTGGCCGGGGACTTTAATGCAGGGAAACTTAAATCCATTTAACCTAATTTCTACCAGCATGTTAAATGTGCAACCAGAGGGGAAAAAAACTCTAGACCACCTTTACTCCACACACAGAGACGCATACAAAGCTCTCCCTCGCCCTCCATTTGGCAAATCTGACCATAACTCTATCCTCCTGATTCCTGCTTACAAGCAAAAACTAAAGCAGAAAGCACCAGTAACTCAGTCAATAAAGAAGTGGTCAGATGATGCAGATGCTAAGCTACAGGACTGTTTTGCTAGCACAGACTGGAATATGTTCCGGGATTCTTCCGATGGCATTGAAGAGTACACCACATCAGTCACTGGCTTCATCAATAAGTGCATCGATGACGTCGTCCCCACAGTGACCGTACATACCCCAACCAGAAGCCATGGATTACAGGCAACATCCGCACTGAGCTAAAGGGTAGAGCTGCCACTTTCAAGGAGCGGGACTCTAACTCGGATGCTTATAAGAAATCCTGCTACGCCCTCCAACGAATCATCAAACAGGCAAAGCATCAATACAGGACTAAGATTGAATCGTATTACACTGGCTCAGACGCTCGTCGGATGTGGCAGGGCTTGCAAACTATTAGACTACAAAGGGAAGCACAGCCGCAAGCTGCCCAGTGACACGAGCATACCAGACAAGCTAAATTACTTCTATGATCGCTTTGAGGCAAGTAACACTGAAGAATGCATGAGAGCATCAGCTGTTCCGGACGACTGTGTGATCACGCTCTCCGTAGCCGATGTGAGTAAGACCTTTTAAACAGGTCAACATTCACAAGGCCGCAGTGCCAGATGGATTACCAGGACGTGTACTCCAAGCATGCGCTGACCAACTGGCAAGTGCCTTCACTGACATTTTCAACCTGTCCCTGACTGAGTCTGTAATACCAACATGTTTCAAGCAGACCACCAAATTCCCATGCCCAAGAACATTAAGGTAACCTGCCTAAATGACTACCAACCCGTAACACTCACATCTGTAGCCATGAAGTGCTTTGAAAGGCTGGTCATGACTCACATCAACACCATTATCCCAGAAACCCTAGACCCAATCCAATTTGTATACCGCCCCAACAGATCCACAGATGATGCAATCTCTATTGCACTCCACATTGCCCTTTCCCACCTGGACAAAAGGAACACCTACGTGAGAATGCTATTCATTGACTACAGCTCAGCGTTCAAATCCATAGTGCCCTCAAAACTCATCACTAAGCTAAGGACACTGGGACTAAACACCTCCCTCTGCAACTGGATCCTGGACTTCCTGATGGGCCGCACCCAGGTGGTACGGGTAGGTAACAACACATCTGCCACGCTGATCCTCAACACGGGGGCCCCTCAGGGGTGCATGCTCTTTCCCCTCCAGGAAAAGGAGGACCGAGCATGCCCCCATTTTCAACGACGGGGCTGTAGTGGAGCAGCTTGAGAGATTCAAGTTCCTTGGTGTCCATATCACCAACAAACTATCATGGTCCAAACACACCAAGACAGTCATGAAGACTGCATGACAAAGCCTATTCCCCCTCAGGAGACTGAAAAGATTTGGCATGGGTCCTCAGATCCTCAAAAAGTTCTACAGCTGCACCATCGAGAGCATCCTGACTGGTTGCATCCCTGCCTGGTATGGCAACTGCTCGGCCTCCAATTGCAAGGCACCACAGAGGGTAGTGCATACGGCCCAGTACATCACTGGGGCCAAGCTTCCTGCCATCCAGGACCTCTACACCAGGCAGTGTCAGAGGAAGGCCCTAAAAATGGTCAAAGACTCCAGCCACCCTAGTCATAGACTGTTCTCTCTGCTACCGCACAACAAGCGGTACCGAAGCGGCAAGTATAGGTCCCCCAAGCCATAAGACTCCTGAACAGCTAATCAAATGGCTACCTGGGCTATTTGCATTGTGTCGTCCCCCCCCCCCCCCCCCACCCCCTCTCTTTTACGCTGCTGCTACTCTCTGTTTATCTATGCATAGTCACTTTTTTAACTCTAGCTACATGTACATACTACCTCAGTTACCTTGACTAACCTGTGCCCTCGCACATTGACTCTGTACTGGTACCCCCTGTATATAGCCTCGCTACTGTTATTTTACTGCTGCTCTTTAATTATTTGTTATTTTGATTAATAACTTAACCAACAATGCAGTGTTAAGGGCTTGTAAGTAAGCATTTCACTGTAAGGTCTACACCTGTTGTATTCGGCACATGTGATAAATACATTTGATTTGATAAAAGCTTGTGTCCTTAGTTTAGCCTATTTCTCATGCACCTACAATAATCTGTCACCTTAAAACTGCATGGAAACCAAAGCAAACATTAGGGATTCACTTTCACTATAAGCAGGCTAAATAGCTTAACCAAAGCAAACATTAGGGTATTCACTTTCACTATAAGCAGGCTAAATAGTCTTAAGCTCAAACGCCAAGCCTATTTAGGATTATGGTAGCAGCTTTTCTTTTTTTTTTAAGCCTGACTTTCACCTTAAACACCAATTCAACCTTTACACAACGTGCAAACATTTCTAAAAACCTATTTTTGCTTTGTCAATATGGGGTATTGTGTGTAGATTGAGGATTTTTTATATATTTTTAAATCCATTTTAGAATAAGGCTGTAACAAAATGTGGAAAAAGTCAAGGGGTCTGAATACTTTCCGAATGCACTGTATGTATCGGCGTAAGGTTGACTAGGCATCAGGAATATGATAAACGTACACCTTTCAAACCAATACGTTTTTCCGCCAACTTCAGCATCCCGCCAACTTTTTGCAGACTTTTCTTTTATATATATAAAATGTATTGCCGGCAACAAAGCCTCTACTTTTATTTCGGGCAACCGACCTAGTCATGATTGCGGTAAAGTTCTGTCTACGGCTTAGTATGAAATGTAGCCGTAATGCTGATGCGGCATTAGCACGCACTACCATAGATATAGAACATTGCTCAATATCTATGCGCACTACGCTCTTAAGCTCTTGATTGTTGCTAGGCAGCGCTCGTTACTACTGTCCAAGGTTAGGTCCCTGGCAATTCGTCTAGATAAATCAATGTCAGATTTTTCTTTTCACTGAATCTCCGTTTGGATACTGGTTAGGCTACAATTAGGCTGTGGAAATGTTCGCTAAGTTGAGGTGAGTGCTGCTCATGATCATCTTGTCTAGTTGGCTCATTTTGTTAGCAATAATCAGAACATTTTGTCAGCATGTTATGTAGCATAAACTTGTTAAACTACATAACATGCTGGCAAAATTTTCTGATAGTAGTCCTAGGCTGGGCCTACTAAACGACTGCAAGTAAAGAGCAAAATAATCCACTACTCCCGACCAAAAGCCTGTGACTTGTCTTAATCAATCAATGTGATTGTGTTTCACTGAATCTCTGTCTGTATATCTGGTTAATTCTCTGTCTGGGCAAATAAGTGGAGGTTGTATATGTCATATTTGTTTGCTCATCTATCACTGATTAGAAATATTTAGCATGCTATAATGTAGCCTAAATCAAGTAGGCCTATTATTTTGCTCGATCGTGTATATCAGGGGTGTCAAATTAATTCCATGGAGGGCCTAGTGTCTGCAGGTTTTTGGTTTTTCCTTTCAGTTAAGCCCTAGACAACCAGGTGTGGGGAGTTCCTTACTAATTAGTGACTTTAATTCATCAAGTTGTGGTCCTCTGTAGCTCAATTGGTAAAGCATGGCGCTTGTAACGCCAGGGTAGTGGGTTCGATCCCCGGGACGTAAAAATGTATGCGCACATGACTGTATGTCGCTTTGGATAAAAGCGTCTGCTAAATGGCTTATGGGCGGCAGGTAGCTTAGTGGGTAAGAGCATTGTGCCAGTAACCGAAAGGTCGCTGGTTCTAATCCCCGAGCCGACTAGGTGAAACATCTGTTGATGTGCCCTTAAGCAAGGCACTTAACCCTAATTGCTCCTGTAAGTCGCTCTGGATAAGAGCGTCTGCTAAATGACTAAAATGTAAAATGTAAGTACGAGGGAGGAGTGAAAACCTGCAGACACTCAGCCCTCCTTGGAATGTGTTTGACACGTGTGGCATATTGGAAACGCCAAAAACCTGCAGAGGTTGTGTACTATGAACACGGGACTTGCATTCTTTTGAAAATATTGATTGCTATTTTTTTCTATCAGTATGAATGAAGATGATGAAGATACTCTCAATGTAAGACCCTACACATGCTCCCTAACCAGGCGGAGTGAGGCTAAGACAAACATGAAACGTTGATCAAAAAAGAATGGGCTTGCCTTGGGCTCTGTTTAAAAAATATCACATTTATATGACAGAGGTTCCACACGTTGCCTTGACGCAAGTTGTGTGGGAATTTTTCTTTGTATTTTATTCTGTTATTTCATTATATAGCCTACTAGAAAATATACAGTGTGTGTTGACTGATCAGGGTAGCCTAAATGTGTCTTGTCTGTTTTAATGAACAAAATAACTATTGATTTCATGTGCATGTCACAGCCATGTACCCTATAGGCTGCACAGACCAGTAACATAATTAATCTCAATATGCCATTCTATTCTTTTGAAATTACATTTTATTAGTCTTATCTTTCTTAGGACCTGCCTAAAACAAATGTAATAATGGATTTCATTGTGATGGTGTATATTCAATGGATTTGTTAAAATAGACGTCCACCCACATCGCTCCACGTACTGCCACTCCTAAACTTGCCGCCATGAGCACGGGAGATCTAAAAGGCTTATCCCGGCAAGAATGTGGTAAAATGGCTTAGGGATAGAAGCTGTTCAGGAGCCTGGTACCGCTTGCCGTACGGAAGCCGAGAGAACAGTCTATGGCTTTTCTGGGCCTTCCTTTCACACCAGAGGTCCTGGATGGCAGGGAGCTTGGCCCCAGTGATGTACTGGGCTCGCCGCACCACCCTCTGTAGCGCCATGCGATTGAGGACAGTACTGTTGCCATACCAAGCAGCCATTCAAGATGCTCTCAATGGTGGAACTGTATAACTTTTAATGGATTTGAGGGCCCATGCCAAACCTTTTCAACTTCCTGAGGTGGAAGAGGTGCTGTCGCGCCTTCTTCACGACTGTGAGCGTGTGAGTGGACCATTTTAAGTCCTTAATGACACAGAGGAACTCGACCAGCTCCACTGCAGCCCCATCGATGTGGATGGGGGCGTGCTCCCCCCTTTCCTGTAGTCCACGATCAGCTCCTTGGTCTTACTGACGTTGAGGGAGAAGTTGTTGTCCCGGCACCACACTGCCAGGTCACTGACCTCCCTGTAGACTCTCATCAACAACTACAGGAAGTGTTTGGTTGCAGACATTGCAGCTAAAGGTGGCACCACCAGTTATTGAGTGTAAGGGGCAATTACTTATAGCACAGGGGCATTGGGTGTTGCATGACTTCATTTATTAAATAAATGAAATAAGTATCAACATTTTATGTTATGTTCACTCAGGTTCCATTTATCTAATGTTAAGTTTTGGTTTAAGATCTGATAACATTCAGTGTAAATAAATATGCAAAAATAGAAAAAAATGTTTTTCCACAGCACTGTACATCATTGTTATATAAACGGTTTGTTTCTGGGGGGGGGGGTTGCATTTGAATAGCGGACAATAATGTGGTTTCCCACATGATCAGTTTGCCTTAGCATTTCTTAAGCGGTGGTGGACATGAGAAAATCTCTGCTGTTATTGAGAAGATTATATTTTTTCCCCCTATTTCCAGCAGGAATTCCCCTGCTTAGTCAATGACAAGTCCTGCCAAGAGATCCGGTCAAATCAATTGCCACCCCACAGAGCAGCCATTAACAAGGCATAGAATTATTAGTCTCTATGGCCTGCCATCTGTGTAAATTGCTCTATATTCTTGTGTAACTGACAGTTTCGGATGGACGTGACGGAAGCTGTCTTTTTCTAGACAGTATGAGCTCACCTTGTCAGTTATGAGCTTTGATTGCTGAGAGAAATGGCAGGGTTAAGTTAACTATGATTTGTACCTTACGTTAGCATTGGCGTATAAGTGTCTGTGTTAAGCTTGCAGTGATACAATAGCCTGGTACCATACTTTATGTACTGTAGACACTAGACATACTGGCATGCTATGGTACTTCCTCTTTGGAGGACCGCTTAAATTAAAACTAGCACTTAAGAACTGACTAAATCCTTGTCAGCTAAGCTAACCATCTGAAGGACTAGTATCCTAGAGACCAGTTTTGGTCCAAGGGCCGACCAGTGGTTAAGAAACACAATGAACTTGTTTCTCATTCTCAACCTTTTTTGTACTAGGGACTGGCAAGCTATGGTCCCTCTTGAGTCAAGTGCCGGCGGCAAGCTATGGTTTTTCCTCCTTGGTGGGCCGCTTACTGTATGTAGACTAGAGCTGACTAAATTAGCAGAACCATCTCAGGGATCTGGTCAGCAGCATCCCATGGACCGGAGGTTGAGAAACACTGAACTAGATAGGCCTAAGTCCTCTAACACAAAGAGGAGTTGGCTAAAGTACATACTGGACCACCAGGCTAGTGATACTCATCTTAAGAGCCCATGGTCTCCATCCTTTCTAACAGATTTTCAAGGCCAGCTAGGTTGAATGCTCTCCATTGTGAAAACTCATAATGATACTGTAATAAGTAGGCTGGGAATTGCCAGGGACCTCACAATACGATATTATCACGATACTTAGGTGGCGATACAATATGTATTGCGATTCTATAGGTATCACGATTTTATATGAAGGCATGTTGATACTGTGATGTTATTGCGATTCGATGTTCTATACATATTGCTCACTATATGTCTGCAGCAGAGGGACAGGAGAGAGCCATGAAAAAATGAGCATTCATCAAAGTAAGTGCTGAAAACAGATTGTCTCACCATTTTAAAAAGAAGATGGAAAGCAAACTATAGAAGGAAAAATACTGGAGTTTTGACGCAGGTACAGTCGACTCGCCCAAAAATATTGCAATATATTGTCAAATAATATCCCGATATGTAACTGTAACTATTTTTTTTTACCCTGTCACTAGTTAAAAGTGTAGAATCAGACCATCGTAAGACCTTTTCCCCAAACAACAACCTCCCTCAAAACTAACTGCAAAGGGGTTGCCATCTGCCCTTCTCTAACTGAAAAGGGCATGTTTTGTCTGCTGACAACAGATTTTTTGTTTTGTCTCGCTTCACTGACAATAGAGGCTTCTGTAAACTCCCATGAGGAAAATAGTTCACTTAACAAGATACCTTGCCACCAAGAAATAGGCTACTTCCACATACCAGATTTGTATTGGCATGTGGAAATGGGGCATCTGAGCGCTTGGTTACACGGTTGCCACTGCAACTCTGTTGATGCCAGAGAAATATCTGCACTTGCTCGGGCTAGGCTGTACAAGCCAGCCGATTTGTCGTTTCTCATTTACTGCCTTGTCTCTCTCAGCTGTCTAGACCTCAGCTGCCAGGCTAGACGTGAATGAGAGCTTTCATGGGCCATCAAAGCTGCAGTTGTGTCTCCAAGCCTAAAAAGAGCACTTAAAGGAATTAAGTTGTAACTCATGCACCTCTGTCATTTCTTCACAAACGCTGCAAGATTCTTACGTTTTGTCTGTCTGTTTGTCATGCATTTGTTTGAAACAGTAGTTCTGTACAGTCATTGCTAGCCCATGGGTCCCTCATACAATATGCTTGAAATGTCATGAATAATGGCTATGCAGGTCTCCAATAGAAACGGAGCATCTCATCTTTCTCCTCAACTAATCACACACTTCTATTCACTCCTGGCTGTATATGCACTACGGTAAACAAATAATGCAGGTGCGCCGTGAGAGAGAATTGTCACACTCCTAATTATCCTACAGGAAACACACCACATGGCACAGTGCAGGCCACATCGAAGCTTATGGAGGGGAAGAAACAGCCCTTAAAAAAGGAAAAACAACAGCAGCAACCTAGATCTCCTCCCTGTCATACGCCATTGATTTTGCAATCCAGCGCTATCGAAGCAGAACCATACAGGGCATCTACGTCTCAGGCTGGCGATAGCCAATCTCTATTACCCCTTAGCTTAGGCTTGGGCTCGGGGGCCTAACAGGGATGAATAGCTGCAGAGTATGATGGATGTATGAGCTGCCTGGAGAGAGGATAATCTCCGCTGTTTTTATTATTCCATCAGATTTTATGAGGTGGCCATAATATACGACAAACTGTCATATTCATAAGATTTCCATCTGAATATGATTGGAAATGGACATTCGAATCAAGCGTGAAATTATAGTAAATAGCAATAGCCTATCTCGGCCGGTGTTTTAGAATGTTCAGAATAATAGGCATCGGCTTAGTTGTTATAGTGTTAAAGACTGTGTTGCCGCCATAGGTCATAATTAGCTGGAAATACATGGAGGCAAGGGGGAACCAACGGAAATGGGGACTGAATGGAAGCACACTGTGTGGCCAGAGTGATTCATCATTCAAGAGCGGGCCTTTTGTCCAGTAATTAAATTACCTCAGAGTCGACCATTAGCTAAAGTGTCTGGCTCCCTCTGCTCGGATACAGTGGGTTTCTAACTAAGCTTGTTCAACACCATGGACTACAACAAAGCTGTACCTCATGCTTTGTTGTTGGTACTGAACACCATGCCCTTGTGGTTTGGGGTCTGATTTAAGTTCAGCACATTATGCTTTAGGGCTAGGGAGAGCTGATCCTGATTCAGTTGTTACAGACACAGACTGACTAGTCTCCAATATTAGGATATGCCATGGGAGTAGGCTAAGGCCAGGGGTACAGTGCCTTGCAAAAGTATTCATCCGCCTTAGCGTTTTTCCTATTTTGTTGCATTACAACTTGTAACTTAAATTGATTTTTATTTGGATTTCATGTAATGGGCATACACAAAATAGTCCAAATTGGTGAAGTGAAATGAAGAAAAAAAACTTGTGTGGTGCGTGCATATGTATTCACCCCCTTTGCTATGAAGCCCCTAAATAAGATCTGGTGCAACCAATTACCTTCAGAAGTCACATAATTAGTTAGATTGCACACAGGTGGACTTTATTTAAGTGTCACATGATCTCAGTATATATACACCTGTTCTGAAAGGCCCCAGAGTCTGCAACACCACTAAGCAAGGGCCACGACCAAGCAAGCGGCACCATGAAGACGAAGGAGCTCTCCAAACAGGTCAGGGACAAAGTTGTGGAGAAGTACAGATCAGGGTTGGGTTATATAAAAAATATCCAAAACTTTGAACATCCCACGGAGCACCAGTAAATCCATTATTTAAAAAATAATATGGCACCACAACAAACCTGCCAAGAGCGGGCCGCCCACCAAAACTCACGGACCAGGCAAGGAGGGCATTAATCAGAGAGGCAACAAAGAGACCAAAGATAACCCTGAAGGAGCTGCAAAGCTCCACAGGCGAGATTGAAGTATCTGTCCATAGGACCACTTTAAGCCAGAGCTGGGCTTTACGGAAGAGTGGCCAGAAAAAAGCCATTGCTTAAAGAAAGAAATAAGCAAACACATTTGGTGTTCGGCAAAAGGCATGTGGGAGACTCCCCAAACATATGGAAGAAGGTACTCTGATCAGATGAGACTAACATTGAGCTTTTTGGCCATCAAGGACAACGCTATGTCTGGCGCAAACCCAACACCTCTCATCACCCCGAGAACACCATCCCCACAGTGAAGCATGGTGGTGGCAGCATCATGCTGTGGGGATGTTTTTCATTGGCAGGGACTGGGAAACTGGTCAGAATTGAAGGAATGATGGGATGGCGCTAAATACAGGGAAATTCTTGAGGGAAACCTGTTTCAGTCTTCCAGAGATTTGAGACTGGGACGGAGGTTCCCCTTCCAGCAGGACAATGACCCTAAGCATACTGCTAAAGCAACACTCGAGTGGTTTAAGGGGAAACATTTAAATGTCTTTGAATGGCCTAGTCAAAGCCCAGACCTCAATCCAATTGAGAATCTGTGGTATGACTTAAAGATTGCTGTACACCAGCGGAACCCATCCAACTTGAAGGAGCTGGAGCAGTTTTGCCTTGAAGAATGGGAAAAAATCCAAGTGGCTAGATGTGCCAAGCTTATAGCGACATACCCCGAGAGACTTGCAGCTGTAATTGCTTCAAAAGGTGGCTCTACAAAGTATTGACTTTGTGGGGGTGAATAGTTATGCACGCTCAAGTTTTCTGTTATTTTGTCTTATTTCTTGTTTGTTTCACAATAAAAAATATTTTGCATCTTCAAAGTGGTAGGCATGTTGTGTAAATCAAATGATACAAACCCACCAAAAATCAATTTTAATTCCAGTTTGTAAGGCAACAAAATAGGAAAAATGCCAAGGGGGGTGAATACTTTTGCAAGCCACTGTAGGCAACTAGATTCAGCCGTGGACCATTTTTATTTGGAGCGGATGGTCGGGGGGCCTGAACATAATTAGAATAATTTGTGCACTGCAAATTGACCACAACTAAGCCCAAAAAGAAATTGTATTTGAAAATAACATTCATTTCATGCCTTGATTACATTGAGACACGATCACATACAGTGCCTTCAGAAAGTATTCACACCCCTTGGCTTTTTCCACATTTTGTTGTGTTACAGCATGATTAAATATAGATTTTGTTGCACTGGCTTACGCACAATACCCCATAATGTCAAAGTGGAATTATGTTTTTAGATTTAAAAATAAATAAAAATTATACTGAACATAAATATCAACGCAACATGTAAAGTGTTGGTCCCATGTTTCATGAGCTGAAATTAAAGATCCCAGAAATGTACCATACGCACAAAAAGCTTATTTCTCTCAAATGTTGTGCACAAATTTGTTTATATCCCTGTTAGTGAGCATTTCTCCTTTGCCAAGATAATCCATCCACCTGACAGGTGTGGCATATCAATAAGCTGATAAAACAGCATGGTCATTACACAGGTGCACCTTGTGCTGAGGACAACAAAAGGCCCCTCTAAAGTGTGCAGTTTTGTCACACAACACAATGCCACAGATGTCTCACATTTTGATGGAGCGTGCAATTGGCATGGGATGTCCACCAGAGTTGTTGCCAGAATATTTAATGTTAATTCCTCTACAATAAACTGCCTCCGTCGTTTTAGAACATTTGGCAGTACGTCCAACTGGCCTCACAACTGCAGACCACGTGTAACCACGCCAGCCCAGGACCTTCACATCCGGCTTCTTCACCTGCGGGATCATCTGAGACCAGCCCCCCAGACAGCTGATGAAACTGAGGAGTATTTCTGTCTGTAATAAATCCCTTTTGTTTGGAAAAACTCATTCTGATTGGCTGGGCCTGGCTCCCCAATGGGTGGGCCTATGCTCTCCCAGGCCCACCAATGGCTGCGCCCTTTCCCAGTCATGTGAAATCCATAGATTAGGGCCTAATTTATTTATTTCAATTGATTGATTTCCTTTGTGAACTGTAACTCAGTAAAATCATTGAAATTGTTGCATTTATGAAATGTCTTGAGTCAATAAGTATTCAACCCCTTTGTTACGGCAAGCCTAAATAAGTTCAGGAGTAAAAATTAGCTTAACAAGTCACATAAGTTGTATGGACAATAATAGTGTTTAACATGATTTTTGAACGACAACCTCATCTCTGTACCCCACACACACAATTACCTGTAAGGTCCCTCAGTCGAGCAGTGAATTTCAAACAGATTCAACCACAAAGACCAGGGAGTTTTTCCAATGCCTCACAAAGAAGGGCACCTATTGGTAGATGGGTTTTTAAAAAATCTGACATTGAATATCCCTTTGAGCATGGTGAAGTTATTAATTACACTTTGGATGGTGTATCAATACACCCAGTCACTACAAAGATACAGGCGTCCTTCTTAACTCCATTGCCAGATAGGAAGGAAACCGCTCAAGGATTTCACCATGAGGCCAATTGTGACTTTAAAACAGTTAGATCAACAACATTGTACTTACTCCACAAAACAAACATAGTTGACAGAGCAAAAAGAAGGAAACGTGTACAGAATAAAATATTCCAAAACATGCATCCTGTTTACAATAAGGCACTAAAGTAATACTGCAAAAAAAATGTTATGTTTGGGGCAAATCCAACACATCACTGAGTACCGCACTTCATATTTTCAAGCACGGTGGTGGCTGCATCATGTTATGGGTATGCTTGTCATTGGCAAGGACTAGGGACTTTTTAGGATAAAAAGAAACGGAATAGAGCTAAGCACAGGCAAAATTCTAGAGAAAAACCTGGTTGTCTGCTTTCCACCAGACACTGGGAGATGAATGTCCTAAAACACAAGGCCAAATATGAACTGTAGTTGCTTACCAAGACGACGTTGAATGTTCCTGAGTGACCTAGTTACAGTTTTGACTTAAATCTGCTTGAAAATCTATGACAAGGCTTGAAAATGGCTGTCTAGCATGATCAACAACCAACTTGACAGAGCTTAAAGAATTTAAAATAATAATAATGTGCAAATATTGTACAATCCAGGTGTGCAAAGCTCTTAGAGTTACCCAGAAAGACACACAGCTGTAATCACTGCCAAGGGTGATTCTAACATGTATAGACTCAGGGGTTTGAATACTTATGGAAATGATATATTTCTGCTTTTTCAATAAAATTGCAAAAATGTCTAAAAAACATGTTTGCACTTTGTCATTATGGGGTATTGTGTGTAGGTGGGTTAGAAAATAAAATCAATTCTGAATTTAGGCTGTAGCACAATGTGGAATAAGTCAAGGGGTATGAATACTTTCTGAAGTCACTGTATGTCTCTTTTTTGTGTGTGGGAATACTTAGGAACAGATATCCTAAATTAAACTCATTTTTGGCTGAATTCCTGATGATATTAGTATTTTACCCCCAAAAATTATCAAATAAATAAATAGACTAAACTTTGGAGGGCCAAATAAATTTACTCCCAAGACGGTTTTGGCCCACGGGCCGCCTGTTGTCGACCCCTGGTCTAGGCCTAGAGATCTGGGCTCGAATCCACATACAGTTGAAGTAGGAAGTTTACGTACACCTTAGTCAAATACATTTAAACTCAGTTTTTCACAATTCCTGACATTTAATCAGAGTAAAAATTCCCTGTCTTAGGTCAGTTAGGATCACAACTTTATTTTAAGAATGTGAAATGTCAGAATAAATTATAGTGATTTATTTAAGCTTTTATTTCTTTCATCACATTCCCAGTGGGTCAGAAGTTTACATACACTCAATTAGTATTTGGTAGCGTTGCCTTTAAATTGTTTAACTTGGGTCAAACGGTTCGCGTAGCCTTCCACAAGCTTCCCACAATAAGTTGAGTGAATTTTGGCCCATTCCTCCTGACAGAGCTGGTGTAACTGAGTCAGGTTTGTAGGCCTCCTTGCTCGCACACGCTATTTCAGTTCTGCCCACAAATGTTCTATAGGATTGAGGTCAGGGCTTTGTGATGGCCACTCCAATACCTTGACTTTTGCCATTTTGCCACAACTTTGGAAGTATGCTTGGGGTCATTGTCCATTTGGAAGACCCATTTGTGACCAAGCTTTAACTTCAATATATCCACATAATTTTCCTTCCTCATGATGCCATCTATTTTGTGAAGTGCACCAATCCCTCCTGCAGCCAAGTACCTCCACAGCATGATGCTGCCACCCCCATGCTTCACGGTTGGGAGGGTGTTCTTCGGCTTGCAAGCCACCCCCTTTTTCCTCCAAACATAACGATGGTCATTATGGCCAAACAGTTCTATTTTTGTTTCATCAGACCAGAGGACATTTCTCCAAAAAGTATGATCTTTGTCCCCATGTGCAGTTGCAAACCGTAGTCTGGCTTTTTTATGGCGGTTTTGGAGCAGTGGCTTCTTCCTTGCTGAGCGGCCTTTCAGGTAATGTCGATATAGGACTCGTTTTATTATGGATATAGATACTTTTGTACCTGTTTCCTCCAGCATCTTCACAAGGTCCTTTGCTGTTGTTCTGGGATTGATTTGCACTTTTCGCACCAAAGTACGTTAATCTCTAGGAGACAGAACGCGTCTCCTTCCTGAGCGGTATGACGGCTGCATGGTCCCATGGTGTTTATACTTGCGTACTATTGTTTGTACAGATGAATGTGGTACCTTCAGGCGTTTGGAAATTGCTCCCAAGGATGAACCAGACTTGGCTGATTTCTTTTGATTTTCCCATGATGTCAAGCAAAGAGGCACTGAATTTGAAGGTAGGCCTTGAAATACATCCACAGGTACACCTCCAATTGACTCAAATTATGTAAATTAGCCTATCAGAAGCTTCTAAAGCCATTACATCATTTTCTGGAATTTTCCAAGCTGTTTAAAGGCACAGTCAACTTAGTGTATGTAAACTTCTGACCCACTGGAATTGTGATACAGTGAATTATAAGTGAAATAATCTGTCTGTAAACAATTGTTGGGAAAATTACTTGTGTCATGCACAAAGTAGATGTCCTAACCGACTTGCCAAAACTATAGTTTGTTAACAATACATTTGTGGAGTGGTTGAAAAACGAGTTTTAATGACTCCAACCTAAGTGTATGTAAACTTCCGACTTCAACTGTACATAGCATCTCAGAGTGCTGATCTAGGATCAGGTACTCAACTGTCCATATAATCATATTAATTTTGATCTAAAAGGCTAAACTGATCTTAGATCAGCGCTCCTACTGTGGATACCGGCCCTGATTATGAAATTGTAATGGTCCGATAACAGCTCTTTTATGGCTATGTGCTTTAGGTTTTGTGTGTGGATGGATGGATGTTTCACTTAGCTATTCTGGGTGTTACTCATGACCATATTTATCTATGGTCATGACGACAGACGGCCACCTGTCACAGCTAGCACCAGTTGTTAGCACGGTTGGTTAGCGCTAGCTTTGATCAGTGGGACAATAGCAGATGCTTGTGAGGGCGTAAGGGAGGGGGGGTGTATGTGGGAATGGCAGAGTGATCACAGATTACATCTTAATTTCCCCGCTACCAGCTACCAGGGTGCCTACATGGATAGGTATGGCCTGGGCTGACTTGGCTCTGTGGTCCCACAAGTATTAGGTGCTGGAGTGTTGTTGTGTTCCAGCACAGATCTGAGCCATTGTCACCACCAGTCAATCTGAGACTGATTTGACACAGAAGCCTATTTGTTTTAGTCACACAATTTTTTATAGTAGGCACTGAAGGCCCTTTAAAGCGATAGTTTACCTAAATTACATTTTAGTCATTTAGCAGACACTCTTATCCAGAGCGACTTACATTTAGTGAGTGCATACATTATTTTTTTTATTTTTCATACTGGCCCCCCATGGGAACTGAGCTATATCCCTGCTGGCCATTCCCTCCCCTACCCTGGACGACGCTGGGCCAATTGTGCGCCGCCCCATGGGTCTCCTGGTCGCGGCTGGCTACGACAGAGCCTGGATTCGAACCAGGATCTCTAGTGGCACAGTGCCTTAGACCACTGCGCCACTCGGGAGAGTAGTTACAAATGTAACCCATTTTATGAATAGAAAATGTCCTAATGACCCGTAGAGGGAGCGACCTAAGATAAGTATTTTTATTTTTTTGTTGTCGGTCATTTCCATGTAAAAGGACCCATGAGCATCAACGTGAAGTTAATAGGACTATGTCAAATTGGGTGTCAAATGACATTTAAGAGTCAATATTCATATTATAAAAGATTAGAAAACATCTACCAGAAAAAGTCTTAAAAGGTTTTAGAAATATGTCAAAACACAATAATGTTGAGATGAAGACCCCTGCCAACTAATATCAACACTTAAAACCCACATCTTTTAGATATTTTCTAATTTCTCTCCCTCATGAGGGAGGATAATGAAAGTTCACAGAAGTAACAAGTAAAGGTAGACCTACCAATTAGTTAGTGTTTTTACTAATATTAATTTTGTTTATGAATTATTAAGTGATTACAACTCAAACTTCTGTTACCAAATCGGTAACAGAATTTCAGAAAAATTGGTAACGGAATTTCTGTAATTCAATTGGCTACAAGGGGAAATTAAAGTCACAAACCACAGTTGGGTCACCTGCTACTGTCTTCCCTTCCGCTGGCAGACTGTTATGTTCACCTCATAACTGTTTTCTGTCTCTTTCTGTCATCTGGTGGTCTCCTCACTCACTGAGCACAAGACGTCCATGGACGTTGACATTTTGTCATTCCGCCCTGGCTTTGATTTCAACGTCCACAGATGTCTGGACCGGCCTTCATTTGGCCTAAACATAGATGTCCATGATTGGTTCAGATTTGGACAGCACAGTACAGTAGACAAAAAAAAGTAGAGTACAGTACACAGAGCACACTAGAGTTGAGTACAGTATAATGTACTAACTATACTCTACTTGACTATACTGTACTGAACTCTACAGTTCTGTGCTATACTGTACTCTACTGAGCTCTACTTTGATGTCCAAACTTGTGAAATATAGACGTCTATGATTGGGCGGCAGTTAGCCTAGCGGTTAGAGCTTTGGGCCAGTAACTGAAAGGTTGCTGGTTTCAATCCCAGAGCCGACAAGGCTCGGTTGATGTGCCCTTCAGCAAGGCACTTAACTCTAATTGCTCCTGTAAGTCGCTCTGAATAAGAGCGTCTACTAAATGACAAAAAAATTAATTTAAAAAATTGGTTCAGATTTGGTCCAATTCGGACCAACCAAATTTGGTCTTGTTTGGTGGCGGAGCTCATTAAAATAGCCAGTGTGTATAATAATACCCAAACGTGGTCACATAAACTGAGGGAGATTTTACCAAAATTCTGTTACCAAAATTTGCATCTGCACAGTTCTTCCAGTAAAACTTTGAAATCAATGGTTTTTGTTTAGCATACATTTTAAGGGAAAAATCGTATTCTTGCTAACAAAATATATGCTATAATATGGTGAACTAACCCTTTTAACTCTTCCTCTTCTTCTGGGCAGAGCGGGCCATCGCCAGGCACGAGGTGCATGAGATCGAGGAGAGGCACACGCAGGACGGCCTGCGGGAGCGGGAGGCCCCCTCGGCGGCCGACAGTGAGGACGTGGTGGTCATCTACAACCGGGTGCCCAAGACAGCCAGCACCTCCTTCACCAACATCGCCTACGACCTGTGTGGCAAGAACCACTACCACGTGCTGCACATCAACACCACCAAGAACAACCCAGTCATGTCCATGCAGGACCAGGTGAGAGAGTGAGGCCAGAGGTCAAGGGTTAACGTCCCTCCATATTTAGCTGATTATAGAAAATATTGCACACAGTGGATGCTGATGGAGGGAGAGATCAGAGGATTAGCTCTTTGTAATGGCTGGAATGGAATGAATATAAAGGCACCGCACACATGGTTTCTTCCATGATTCATTCTATTCTGCCAGAATTATAATTTAGCAATGTTTTGACCTCTGTGGAAGAGGGCGAGAGACATATAGAGAGAGTCACTCTGTCTCTCTCCCTCTTCCACAAAGGTCAAAACATTGCTAAATTAAAATTCTGGCAGCATGTAAACAGTGGGCGATGAGTGGCAGTTGGTGTCACTTTAGATCGGTGGAAGCGAGGGAATTGGAGATGGCAAGTGGGAGGGTGAGATTGAAGAGTGGATTGCAGATGCACATGTCATGTATTAATTGTCATTGTCTACCTGCTCAGGTGCGGTTTGTGAAGAATGTGACAGAGTGGAGGGAGATGAAGCCGGCGTTCTACCACGGACACGTCTCCTTCCTGGACTTTACAAAGTTAGAACCCCTCACTACTGCACACATCCTACCAGATAGACTTTTGTTGCTGTCTCCCCCTTGTGGTCTTATAGAATACTACATCAATACAAATTCAGAACGTCACAGATAGATTGCAATTCTATAGAAGGGATATGGCTTTAAATCATGGGAAAAGGGGTGTCATCATGGCAAGTTGAAGCAACACTGTCCTATTGAACAGGGCCTAGATTTACAACTTGTGATGTGTATTCATAGGTCATCTTAGATATGTCATTATAGCATCTCTATGCTATATGTAAGTCCTTATACAATACATTCTAACACTATCTCTCTCCTATTGAACATGCCTCTGATTTTAACATATTGTGTATTCCTAGGTCATCTTAGATAATATCTGTGTAATATACGGGTCGGGTAGGACATCCATTATACAATTTATTCTAACACTATCTCTCTGTTTTGACCCAGGTTTGGAGTAAAGAAGAAGCCCATCTATATCAATGTTATCCGAGATCCCATCGAGCGCCTGGTGTCCTACTACTACTTCCTGCGTTTTGGGGATGACTACCGGCCCGGACTGCGACGCCGGAAACAGGGGGATAAGAAGGTCAGTCCCACAATCCTCTGCATTGTTTTGTACCAACTAGTGTATTAGTGATTAGCTAACACTATGAAATATTGTTGATTTGTAAATAAAAAGGGCATTGCTGCCTACACTAAAGCTACAATTTGGGATTCTTTTTCCCCCCAGCAAACTAATGCAGATTCCCAGATCCTAGATTGTAACTTTATATCTGGAATCCTTAATGGTGAAACTTCCATGTCTGTTTGGGATATTACAACAACAAAGAAGTTACTGCAAACAACGAAGACTGTTTTTCCCCCTTGGACATCATTGCATGCGCGATAGAACAGCAGAATATGTACTGCCATTTTTTAAAACTTACTGCTCAATACACCTCACTTCCGTTTCGTCCACAAAACAAAAACAATAACAAAGGTGCTGGGGCGGACAGTGGCACTGTTTCCTCTAATGCAGATTCCATCTTTAAGGTTCCACTTAGGACAGAATTATTCTATTTTATTTATTAGCAGTAATATATACAATGTATTTGAACAGTAAAACATGCTTCCATAGGTAATGCTATCTTAGATTTTTTGTGGATGTGTTTCAGACCTTTGATGAGTGTGTGTCGGCGGGAGGCTCAGACTGCGCCCCAGAAAAGCTGTGGCTGCAGATCCCCTTTTTCTGTGGTCACTACTCCGAATGCTGGTATGTACCCCTCCTTACGTGACATCAATACCCTGCATTCTTAACCTATAACCCCATTACACATTTCTTAATGGGCTGGTATATGGACAGTTGAACACAAAACGTGAACCCCTTTAACATCCATTTAACTTACCTCCATTACACATACTATTGCATGCCTTTCTTTTCTAGAGGCCTTGATTAGCTTTTTCTCTCTTGTGATCTGTATCATCCACCCCACCCTCTCTTTCTGCTCCTATCTCAACTGACGAGAATGCGAGACTAGCCTATTTGCTTGAATGTAACACAGTTTATTGATTTGTATTTGTTTACCGTACTTGTACTGTATACTGCAATTCAGCTCGGAGCTGCCAATGTATCCAACGTGAAATCATTCTATACATATACTACCAGTCAAAGGTTTGCACACACCTACTCATTCAAGGGTTTTTCTTTATTTTTACTATTTTTTACATTGTAGAATAATAGTGAAGACATCAAAACTATGAAATAACACATATGGAATCATGTAGTAACCAAAAAAGTGTTAAACAAATCAAATATATTTTATGTTTGACATTCTTCAAATAGCCACCCTTTGCCTTGATGACAGCTTTGCACACTCTTGGCATTCTCTCAACCAGCTTCATGAGGTAGTCACCTGGAATGCATTTCAAATCAACAGGTGTGCCTTGTTAAAAGTTAATTTGTGGAATTTATTTCCTTCTTAATGTGTTTGAGCCAATTGGTTGTGTTGTGACAAGGTAGGGGGGGTATACAGAAGATAGCCCTGTTTGGTAAAAGACCAAGTCCATATTATGGCAAGAACAGCTCAAATAAGCAAAGAGAAACGACGGTACATCATTACTTTAAGACATGAAGGTCAGTCAATATGGAAAATGTCAAGAACTTTTAAAGTTTCTTCAAGTGCAGTCACAAAAACCATCAAGCGCTATGATGAAACTGGCTCTCATGAGGACCACCAGAGGAATGGAAGACCCAGAGTTACCTCTGCTGCAGAGGATAAGTTCATTAGAGTTACCAGCCTCAGAAATTGCAGCCCAAATAATTGCTTCACAGAGTTCAAGTCACAGACACATCTCAACATCAACTGTTCAGAGGGGACTGTGTGAATCAGGCCTTCATGGTCAAATTGCTGCAAAGAAACCACTTCTAAAGGACACCAATAAGAAGAAGAGACCTGCTTGGGCCAAGAAACACGAGCAATGGACATTAGACCGGTGGAAATGTGTCCTTTTGGTCTGGAGTCCAACCGCGGTGTCTTTGTGAGACGCGGTGTGGGTGAACGGATGATCTCCGCATGTGTATTTCCCACCGTAAAGCATGTAGGAGGAGGTGTTATGGTGTGGGGGTGCTTTGCTGGTGATACTGTCTGTGATTTATTTAGAATTCAAGGCACACTTAACCAGCATGGCTACCACAGCATTCTGCAGCGATACGCCATCCCATCTGGTTTGGGCTTAGTGGGACTATCATTTGTTTTTCAACAGGACAATGACCCAACACACCTCCAGGCTGTGTAAGGGCTATTTTACCAAGAAGGAGAGTGATGGAGTGCTGCATCAGATGACCTGGCCTCCACAATCCCCTGACCTCAACCCAATTGAGAGGGTTTGGGATGAGTCAGACGGTAGAGTGAAGGAAAAGCAGCCAACAAGTGCTCAGCATATGTGGGAACTCCTTCAAGACTGTTGGAAAAGCATTCCAGGTGAAGCTGGTTGAGAGAATGCCAAGAGTGTGCAAAGCTGTCATCAAGGCAAAGGGTGGCTATTTGAAGAATCTCAAATAGAAAATATATTTTGATTTGTTTAACACTTTTTTGGTTACTAACTTACATGATTCCATATGTGTTATTTCATAGTTTTGATGTCTTCACTATTATTCTACAATGTAGAAAATAGTAAAAATAAAGAAAAACCCTTGAATGAGTAGGTGTGTCCAAACTTTTGACTGGTACTGTAAATCTAAACATCTGATGTACAGCTGATGTAAAAAGGGTTTTATAAATACATTTGATTGATTGAATGTTTATCTCTCCCCCATAGGAATGTTGGCAGCCACTGGGCCCTGGAGCAGGCCAAGTATAACCTGGTCAATGAGTACCTGCTGGTAGGGTTGACTGAGGAGCTGGAGGACTTTGTAATGATGCTGGAGGCGGCACTTCCGCGCTTTTTCAGGGGCGCCACTGAGCTCTACAAAACAGGTACGCTACCATGCCTACTGCGACTACGTTTTAGATTATTACTTCCAAGGTGAAACTGATTTGTCTTTTTAAAGCTTTTTTTTATTTTAGTGTCAGCCTACTCACATGCCTCAAAATAGATAAAAAATGTATTTTCAGTCAATCGTATGTAGAATGATGATGTACCTATTTTTGAATGTGTTGAAGCATGTACAGTAGATGTACCGTTATCACAGGAGATGTTCACGTTACTGCTCTTTGAGAGACCAATTCTCACTTTTTTCACAGCTCTAACAACGTGCACGTACCTCTTCATTATATTTGACAATTTCTACATACCATCTTTAACTAAAAACAAAAATACAAGTGCGACTTAATACAAGTGCGACTTAGATTGGTACTGATGTGCTATGCCCCTTTCCCAACAGGGAAGAAATCCCACCTGAGGAAGACAAGCGAAAAGAAGCCGCCTACCAAGGAATCCAGCACCAAGCTGCAGCAGTCGGCCATCTGGAAGATGGAGAACGAGTTCTACGAGTTTGCCCTGGAGCAGTTCCAGTTTGTCCGGGCTCACGCAGTCCGGGAGAAGGACGGGGAACTCTACCTGCTGGCTCAGAACTTCTTCTATGAGAAGATCTACCCCAAAACTAACTAGCACACATGAAAGATGGACCATTCATCTAGGCTTCATGCCATAGTCACACACACTGGGGAGAGGACAGAGGAGAGGAGGAGGAAAACTAAGATCATCTGTGGAACTGTGTCTGTTGGACGTTGTAAGTCAGCAGTTTCTGAATGTCGCCTGCTTCACTGACTCCGACTCCTCCGTCTCCATAGTAGCCGACAGAACCAGGAAGCTGCCTCTTCCTGATGCAAGAGTGCCAATAGGTCAAGTTCCCACCAGCATCCAAGTTCCAGGACTCCCTTTCTCTTTCCAGGTGAAAGTTCACAGGAGTGGTTTGCTCAACGGACACATGGCAGGAGACGAGTCTACTTGGCATCTGGCCATGTCCTTTTACTTCTGGTCACATGATTTGTATTTTCCGTCCAGAGGGAAGGTTTTTATTGGCAGTGTTCTTTTTGGTTGCATTTTATTTGTATTTTCATTCTACTTTACTATCATCGTCTATGGGAAACATTGTCGTCCCACTTTTTATGTGTTCAAATTATGTAACCGTCTAAACTTAAAAGCTGACTACAATGTTATCTTGGAGTTTACCTATATGAACTGAAGACGTTTTTTTACTAAATCTAAATCCTGTGGCCTCCATAAACTTGGGTAAACAGATACACTCTTTTCACAACTGTGGTAATACTATTGTGTGTTTTATACTGTACTTATTTAGTTGTTTTCAGACTATTTGACCCAGTTGGATTATTGCTAGGTGGAATGTGAAGTGTTTACACATGATGTAATTAAACTATGGAAGAAGACAATTCAGCTGCTGTACATATTACTAATTTCAATACATCTGGATCAAACGGTTATTTTATTTCAAGAGGACTTGCTTTGATTTCAGCTTTGGTATAACACATTTAGTTAATGAGCCATTTGTACATTTTTCTCTCAGCTTTTGTTATTTTCTCTAGATTGGCGAGAGACCATTTCATTTTAGTGCTTTTATTTTCAATCTGTCATATGTTTGCTATCATTGGGCCACTATTGAACCCAAAGTGCCCACAAATCCATTGTTTTGCTGCTGTAAACTCATGAACTTGTTGCATTTCTCCAAACAAAGGGTGAAGTTGACCGTTGTTATTTATGACAGATTTTTTTTTATCCCTGATTATTTCAATTTCTTTATATTCCCCTTAGGATCATAAATTGCAATCCATTTTCATTTATTTTTCTATGGTTATCATGTAAGACTAACCTAACCTAACCTAACCCATGCGTGCACCGTTAACTGCTGGTGCTGCTAATGCCAGTTCCTGTTCTTCTATTGAAGGCCTACTAATACAGACACTGATCAGATCATCTCTGTAACTCAGCCGGAGCACTAGAACAGCCTACAAAAGTGTTGTGAAGCAGTGACATTCCCAATTTATCAAGCCCTAGCCCAGACTTTGAGACAGCAGAAGTACGAAAAAGCAAAGCGAATGTATTTTCTCCCACAGTGGATTATAAAAGAGAGATTGAATCTCTGAGGTAAATTGTGATGTTGGGAAGGGATGGTAGGCAGGCAGTAACTAAACATTGCTTGTGTTCTCATGTTATTAAAGGGGCTCTTCACCATGTGACAACATCAGGAGTAATTTTCTTAGTCATCTTTTTGTAGAAACATACTGATTTCACAGACACTGGTATGGTGATGGAGAACTCTGGATAAAAGCATCTGCCAAATGGCATATATACTGTATAATGAATGTGAGGTTAAATTGGTGAAGTGCCCCTTTAAGGTCTATGTTATAAAGAGAGGCTACTCCTGTGGTTTTGGTTACTCAGCATATTGTACCTTCCTCCCTAACCAACCAAAATCACTGCAAAGACAAGCTTGCGCGCTCTCTCTCTTTCTGTGTTGCAGTAGTATCTGCTGGAATGTCAACCTCACCATGTTTTTGTTATAATTTTGTCATTCCCATGTTTTTATTGCCATATAAAAAAAATGAAATGCCCATTACTGCATGCTTTTTATGTAATTCTTTGTTAGTACATTGATAGACACTGAAAATGTTGGCTGCTGTTCTCTCTGTGTACTATAGAGGGAGCTCATTGGCTAATTTGTGTCTTCACCCTGCCTGCAGTGGAGACATTACATTTCAGTAATTTAGCAGACGCTCTTATCCAGAGCGACTTACAGTAGTGAGTGCATACATGTTCATATTTGTTCGTACTGGTCCCCCATGGGAATCGAACCCACAACCCTGGTGTTGCTAGTGCCATGCTCTACCAAATGAGCCACACGGGACATTATCCAGCCCATGGTGATGTGGTGTGTGTGATGGAAACAGCAAATTAACACTTGGCTACTGTAAGTGAAAATACATGGATCAGGCTAGGTGATACCTCTTCCCGAAAAAGCAGATTGAGACCAAATGACATGGGGGTTTCCAAACTGGGGAAAAGAATGGCAACAAGTATACATCAACTTCTCTGATAGAAGGAAAGGGTAAGTCTCAGTCCCAGGGCTGCCTGGTGCACACTGTTGAATTGGTGTCCCACTAAGCCTTACCCAGCCATGCCCAGGTAATCTCATGCTAGTCATCTGTTACTGAACCAATCTCCTATTAATCCCATCATTAGATAGCCAGCCTACAACAGCTTCCTGGACGTGTCACTGTGACCCAATAAAAAGGGTTTCCCTGCCCTCTGTCTAAGCCACTATTAGGCAGTTTGTGCTCCCTCCCGGACCGATCTGAGACCTGCTTCATGAGATTGGATAGTGTGTGCTCTCTTCATCTGTAAGATGACCAAACTGATCCAGGACCTGTAATGAAGGCTCTATAGTGTAATCTATAAGCAAGGTCTGATGTGTAACAACTTTCTTATGTACTGGTGATGACACAGAAGCAGGAAACCAACAGTGTTGGGGAAGCTACTCTTAAAATATAGTTTACCAAGCTACCAATTACGTCACACTGGAAGAAGTTAAGCTACACTAATTGCTACCCTTAAGAAATATATAGTTTACTTAACTAAAGTTACATTGAAAAAATAGTTCACTACATCCAAACTACTTTGTGAAAAATGATATCTAAATCTGAAATGTCACAGACTACAAATTGCAAGACAGATCACTATGGGGTCAAATGTTAACTGTGTATTTTAGCCTATTAAACACAAAAACAATGTTTCAAGTGAGAATTACGGAGGTCTGATGCTGAATTTTTTTTATAATTATTGCCTACTTTACCCATATTTTATTTTCCTTTTGCAAAATAAATGGCCTAATAGGTAGTTCCAGTAGTTAGCTACACCGCTACATGTAGTTAAATTACTCTAAATATATGTAGTTCACTACTACCCAACACTGGAAACCAACCTATTACCACATCAAACCCATGAACTACTGTAGTATTGTTGGTTTGAAAAGATCACATCATTTCAGGTTATCAGAAGCTTAGGGCTGTATTCAGAAAAGTTGATATTGGGTAATGGACACACACTATCTAACACTCTCCCACTTTCCTTAGAGGTCTATGCATGACATGTCTCACCTAAGTGAGAGGTAGAGTTCAGCACAGCCTTACATAATGCACTGGGGCCAGACCAACATCCCAATGTCTCACACAGATTATGGCGGATATTATTGAACAGGGCGCACATGTCCAGAACTTTACACATACACATCTATTGTATAATGGACATGACTTGATTCTTTATCTTGTTGGGGCCATTTCTGTAGAAGGCCTGCCTGCACATGGACAGGGTGGTGCCATTGGTATCAAGTGCAGTCAGTTGACAGCTATTTTAGATTGGCGTCAGCAACTGGATAGATTTGGTTACAATCGTGATAGTTATTCTCTGCAACTACTAGTACTGTACTACTACAGTGTATTAGGCCAGTGGTTCCCAAACTGTGGGGTGCGTGGGGTTCCCCTCCACATTTTTTTTTTGGGGGGGGTCTCTCTTTTTTTAAAGGAACTCCAGTCCGGATTTAAACTTACTCGTCAAAGTTGTAATAGTAGAATGCACAAGGTGCAATTTCGAAATTGGTAGAGCATCATCAGTTCCTCTTGTTATGTTAGTCATTGCATACCTTAGAGAGCTATTTATAACTTGTCAGAATTGTTCAGATCAACTAGCCCATGTCAGTTAACACTTTTTTATTTAGGTTTTGTAGCCCATAGAAAATTAGATTTAAAACTGCTAAATTTTCTTTGCACCCCATGACTAGATGTGTAGAATTGCAGGAAATAACAAGAGGGGTGTGAACAGTTTGTGTCACGAACAGTGCTTGTCCCCATTGAAATATGGGGGCCCTGAGTGAAAAAGTTTGGGAACCCCTGTATTAAGCTAGCACTATGCTACTGGCACTTTTTATATTAGGCATCCTGTAATAAATTATGATGATGTCATTTAAGTTTCCTGCACTATTTTTAGATACTATATCATAGGATAACCTCCTGCTCATAAACTTCATCGTTTTAATCTAGTCCTAGAATTGTCAAACTATTGCATAAACATGATTTCTTACAGGGGTGTGCGAGGCTCGTGCGTGTGAGAAATGTATGATCACGTGAGAGAGTATGACTATAATCTGGCGGCGAGAGTGGGCTATGGGTTGAGTGAGTGCATAGCTCCTATGGGCGGACGCTGATGCGCTTCCACACGAACCAGCGCCGCTCTCTCCCAAAGCAGGGGGACGGATTTATGGTGCTGCTTTACTTATGTGGACTATAGAACAACTTTTCGTGCCTTGGCCTAAGCGAAAAAAGACACAAGGACTCAAAGAAAGCAATGGAAAGTCAAGTATTTCCAAGATGACCGATGGTTTGGTCACCGAATAAGTTATTTTTGTCGCACGAGAGGGAAACTCAAAACAAGGCTGTTTTTGGAGTTCCACCTCCCCTCTCTCCGTAGAGTTTGATTCAAAAGTCGAAAGCCAAGATGGCCGCCGATTCCGTGCAGGTAGGAAAAGTTGACAACTGTTATAATAAGTGCGTAAAGTTGTAATGCGCGCTTTCCAATTTAGTAGACTAAATAACTATTCTATCGAACATTCGCAGTGGGTTCAAATCTTGAGTTTTATACATTTCTGAGGGATTTCTTCACCCTTTCCCGAAGGACTGGGAATTATGGATTGAGGCCTGGAAAACAATTATCAAAAAATATCCAGTTTTGCGTTATTGTGCACTTGAGAACGCAGCATCTGAACTACTAAATTAATCTGCTGTATATTATTTAAATGTCCTAAAATAAATGTAAAATAGACTATGATGGTAACATATGTTTTTGAAAGTTTTGGTAAACAAAATGGTTTAGAATTAATTGGAAGAACATTTTCCATTTCATAATCCATTTTAAACCGAGACGGTCAAAGTAATGTCCATTTTAAACTCCTTTGTAAACAGTGATACACTTGAGTCAAGTGGGCGCGTGGTAAAGCCCAAAGGTGTCTATTAAAATAAACATGTTTTACTTGGTTGGAGCCAAGACTTAAAGTAGTTGTTCCAAGTATAAGCATTCCCTTAAACATGCTTGAATTTGTAGCTAATCATACAATGCAACATTTAGAAACTTCATAGGTGGCTGTCTGAAAACAAGTTAGAAATGTGCATGTTTCCATCTATTTTTCACCTCTGAACTGTAATAAATGACTCAGAAGAAAGGTTGTGGTCACCACTGCTGTCACTGGGATGACGTCAGCTGTCAAGTCTGCCACTTTGTATCGAAATAAATAAAACATGTCCATCAAACAACAATGTAGCCTTGAAGCATAATGATGCTTCACCGCTACACAGCTGACCATGCAATTTAGTAACTTTGTATGCTACCAAACATAACCACACTCTCTCTCAAACTTTTGCATTTGAGGACATTAACCTGTGAAAATATTGCCTTTGTTTGCAGTTTCCATAATTAGATTGAAGGTAGTACACTGTTTGGAACCTTATTTTTACCCACCCAGCAGCACCCATGAATGCAGACTAGTTTGTTGGCAGACATGATTTCACAAGGTTCTCGTATTCAAATCAGATTTTATTGGTCACATACACGTGTTTAGCAGATGTTATTGCTGGTGTAGCGAAATGCTTGTGTTTCTAGCTCCGACAGTGCAGTATATCTAAAAATTTCACAAAATATACACACATATCTAAGTAAAGCAACAGAATTAAGAATATATAAATACATATATGGACGAGCAATGTCAGAGAGGCATAGACTAAGATACAGTAGAATAGTATTTACAGTATATACACATGATATGAGTAATGCAATATATGTAAACATTATTAAAGTGGCCAGTGATTTCTAATGTGCTAGTGAATGCTATTTAACAGTCTGATGGCCTTGAGATAGAAGCTGTTTTTTAGTCTCTCGGTCCCAGCTTTGATGCACCTGTACTGACCTCCCCTTCTGGATGATAGCGGGGTGAACAGGCAGTGGCTCGGGTGGTTGTTGTTGTTGATGATATTTTTGGCCTTCCTGTAACATCGGGTGCTGTAGGTGTCCTGGAGGGCAGGTAGTTTGCCCCCGGTGATGCGTTGGGCAGACCGCACCACCCTCTGGAGAGCCCTGCGATTGCGGGCGGTGCAGTTGCTGTACCAGCCGGTGATACAGCCCGACAGGATGCTCTCAATTGTGCATCTGTAAAAGTTTGTGAGGGTTTTAGGTGGCAAGACAAATTTCGTCAGCCTCCTGAGGTTGAAGAGGCGCTGCTGTCGGTGGGGGTGGACCATTTCAGTTTGTCAGTGATTCTTAGATAGGTGACGGCTGACATTGTTTGGACAGTGAGTGGAAGGCTATCTTGTATTTGTCAAGTTAATTATGCTGCTATCGGCCAATAAACAAAATACAGTGCATTCGGAAAGTATTCATTTTGTTACGTTACAGCCTTATTCTAAAATAGATTAAAAAAATTAATAAAAATCGCATCAATCTACACAAAATACCCCATAATGACAAAGCAAAAACAGGTTGTTAGACATTTTTGCACATTTATAAAAAATAAAATAAAAA